CTGCATAATCCAAGTCAACTAGATGACTTCTAGGGAGGAGGACGATCTTTGTGAAGTTAGACGTACCTAAGGTTACGTTCGTTATTACGCCAATAACGGAGTTAATAGGAATGGTGACAGTGAGCATCCCTGGTAGACACCATCAGTTGTCCTCAATTCACATGACAACTCTCTATAAGCCCTTACACGGCTGGATGAGTGCGAGTAGAGTTTCAGTTAACGTGATGTAGTTTCTCCGTACTCACTTCACAACCAGACACTGCCACAACACCTCATGGTCGATAGAGTGAAATACCTCTTAAGTTCAAGAAGTATGAAAAGTGTTGGACATTTGCCAGTAGATATCCCTGCGGTCCAGCCATCTGTCGGAGGGCGAAAATCTAATCGATGCACGCCCGTCCAGATCTGAAACCTGACTGGTTTTCTCAAGCTCCAGTTAAGCGTCGTATAGCTATGGAAACTAGAATGTTGGACACAATACTAGTCAACCTAATTCTCCTATGATTGTCACCGGAAAACGTCTCTCCCTTCTGATATTTTGGGTTGTTCAGTGAATTAGACCAGTCTGACGGCACTACATCTGGTTTCTTTCACTGCCTAATAGCTCTATCACTTTGATCAGCAATTTCATACCTTCATCCTTGAAGACGTCATGTGGCAGACTGCCACATCGCACTGCTTTTTATAGTTTCAGGTGCGATAATGATTTCTCAACTTCTAGGAGAGTTAGAGGATGGACATCTGTGTCTCAGTCAGGTTCAGACTGGATGCTGGGAAACTGAAGCGTTTCTTTGGGCCTGTTGAATTGTGATTCCATGTCCTGGATAACGTTCTGGCCGCCTTTCCTAAGAAGTTATCAGCGTCCCATCATTTTGGGTGATGGTTTCACTAACCATCATTATCTTCTTGCCAACATCTTTAATATCGCTGATTGGTTGCCGAGTATTGCCTTACGCTGATGGTTTCTTCATCTCACTTGCTTTCACCACCCACCACTGCTCCCGATCGACTCGAAGACTCTTGGTTAACTTATGTTTGAGTTGCTTTCGCTCTTTGTCGTGGTCAGAGTCAGCTGGAATCAGTCTTCTGGCACCCGTCACTTCAGGTAGCTTCGTGGAAACCTGATGAGGTTTGCTAACCTCCGTATCAATTGTCTTTACCGCTGTTTCTACAGCAAAGGTAATATCACGCCAATTTTTCTTAGGGTGAGCATTGCTGTCACGTTCATATAAATGCTTAGCTATCTTTTCCTTAAATCCATACTTGGCGTCCTTATCTTCCAGTTGAGCATAGATAGGCTTTACTATCGCCTGTTTCCTGAAACCAGTTAGGGGTTGACATACGTGAGTGCGTACTAATGCGTGATTGGCTTCCAAACTGGTACTCCAGAGAGAGTATCAATCCTCCACGGATCCTCTCCAACGATGGTTGTTGTTGTTACAATTGACTTGGTGGTGGTTAGCAGTGACATCTAGAATACATGTTCTACCCTATCTTTGACTCGTCAAGTGATAGTACCTGTACCTCAGTAAAGTGGTGTTGTCCCCTCTTGGACTCGAACCCAGTACCTATAGCTTCAGTCGCTAAGGGGTTATCCACCAGGTTGCTGAATTATGATAGCCACCACCTTTCGTGCAACGCGTAATAATTTTTATTACTTGTCGATAATGAAGTCTTAGAGGATGAACGGAGGAAAACAAACATGCATCACTTTCATTGAATTGATGAAGTTGGAAAACTCTGATCGCGTTTTTTGGATTAATTCGATTAGTTATTATAATGCATAAATTGACTTTAAATGTCATTTCAGGACAACATAACGTGATCCACTAGTTTACTGAGTTTAGATGTTCACTACTACAATGTATAACCAATATAGATAGTATCAAAGCATCCGTAGAAGCAGCTTATATACCAACTATAAATGATAATTTCAATTCTATAACCAAAGGACATGTAAAATTTCAATACGCCGGATGAAGCCGTTTCTAGATGAGTCAAAATGGTTCAATTTAATGCCAAAAACTAATAATCCCAGTAGGATGTACGGTACTATTAAGATTCATAAGCCAGGTTATCCCATTAGGCCCATAGTAGATTTTAGAAACACTTTGACTTATGAGTTGCCTAAAAATTTAGCAATGTTGTTAAGCCCAATAAGAAATCGCTCAAAGTTTCAACTTACCAACCCTTATGACTTAAAGCACAGATTAGACGATAGTGAATAAATGGTTAAATTTGACAAAGAACTTACTCATCGAACTAAGGGGCCGATCGAGGGAATCATGCTAGGAGTATGATTGTATGTAACATCTATAGTTTTTAAGTTTCAAAATAAAATATATAAACAAACTGAAGATGTTGCCATGGGATCACCAATATTCCCTATCGTTGCAGATATATTTATAAATAGTTGGGAACAGATGGCCCTTCAAACATTTAGTCCTACTCCAAAGATATGGTTCCGATATGTAGATGATACATTTACAGTACTGAAATCGGGACACATCCATAGGTTCGTGACACATATACATTCAGTAGTGAATGCAGTCCAATTTACCTATGACTTAGAAAGTGAAGAAGGTGAGCTAGCAATTTTGGATTGCAAGATTAAACGAACACAAGAAGGAAATCTAGAGATTAATGTCTATAGGAAACCTATCCATTCGAATCGCTACTTAAACTTCAAATCCTCCCACCTCACTTAAAGTAGGCTCAGTTAAATGCCTAAATGATAGAGTGGAGAACTTTACTAGTAGGCCAGAAAATCTACTACAAGAAATGAGACCCATCAAGAATACCTCACGTCTCAGTAAGACTAGATGTGATTAAAGTGGTTGGTATTTAAACCAACAAACTCGCCGAGAGGAACACGCTTTGTAGGTTAAATGATTCTATTGGTGCCATTAAGCCAAATAATCTGGTTTACCAAATCCTTTGCAATGATTGTTAGGCCAGACACATAGGTCAGTTAAAGTACTCGACTAGTCAGGGTTGATTAGAATAGCAGAGCACAAAACCTCAGCTAAATCAAGATTAGTAGATCCTGATAAGATAAGAAATTTAGAGAAAAGCTTGGTTATAGCTCTGCATCCAATTACACACAATGGCACAGTAGGGTAGGATAGAGCGACAGTCTTGAGAACTAACTTATTTGAGTGGAAGGAGAGATTGATAACCGGATCTCTGCTTATCGAATTAACACCAAATACCCGGAGTAATAGGAAAGATTCTGCCGTTGTCATAGATATATGGAAACTTCTACTTCCCTTGTCATCACAGAGAAGGAGAGAAGATTAGGACAATATAAGCTGTGTCTCAAAATTGTTGGGCTAGTTACTTGATATGAATATGGACAATAAGTTGTGTTCGAAGCGTTATCCAGTAAATGATACTGTTTCCCTTTGTCATATTTCTAGTAAACAGACTAAAATGGAGAACTAAGTGGTTTCATACAATTAAATCCCTTCACAAATTTTCTCAGAAAGCAGATCAAAAATGGTCTACAAAACATTATTACTTAGACAAACTGCTTTGAAAGATATGGATGAATAATGAAGAAATGCCTGATGGAACTAAACTTTAATGAGAACCAATCAGGTTTAAGTATGCACTAACCAATCAGAATCGAGTATATGCAAAACAATTCTTAGCGAAATTGGGTACTGTATTTTCAATTTATAAACCTATTTTACATTTTCAACTGGTTTATCATCTTTGAAACCATACTACTGTCTGTATAGCCATTAATCCATGAGACAATATCATTTTCCCTGGCTATCCCGTTAAAAGGTTTTATGAACTTTCTAAGACGACTCCACACATTTACAACGTTGTTTGTGATCACTTCAGTTGTCTAATCATCAAAGAGCTTTTTGTGAACAATAGCTTGATAGGAGTAAATCATTTTAGATATTGGCATATATGAATTCCAAGCATCTGTGTATATTGTGGTACCTTATACCACATATTTTCGCATATCTGTTAGGATGGATTTTTCTCATGTATCATTTATCCACTGAAATTGTCATTTCTTTGTATTTCGGTCGTACATGTCAAGATTCTGTGGTTTACCAAGACATATGTGTATACACACACATTCGGTAAGTTATAACTTATTCAGTTCTTTTTAAATCATCTTCCTAGGTTATATTCAAGTTTCTGAACAAGACATTCATCTGTTTCAGCCACACTGTCTTCTCTAAGAAATTTCACATTCAATCTGCAGTGTAATTGTCGTTATAATTCATCAAAGGTTTGTGCAGCGTCAAACACACGCTAAATGGATATGGTGGATGACCTTGGACAGATTCATCTCCAACCTGATTGGTTGTCCTTAAAGTTACTCGTCGCTAAAGTTTAGTTCTAGAAACATTTTCTACCACCCGAAATTTATTGATATGATGAAAATTAGATTAACAGGCAAGTAAATGCTGCAGTCAGTCTCATAGGCTCTAAGTATCCTACCATGATTTGCTTAGAAGCACTATTTGCACGTGGTGTGTCCATTGAGTAACTGTAAATTCCTAGAAAAGACAAAGGATTCCATGAAATTGACTGCCTGTCTGTTTCTTCAAAGTTGGGGCGGAAGGATCCAACTTTCTAGTTGCCGCCTTCAAGTTCCTTGGTAGCCATTCTCCGGGTAGTAGATCTGCACCACCATCATGCACTTTATTCATAGCTATCTCAAAAATGTCATCGATAGCAAAGTTGAAGAGAAATGAGGCAATCGGACAACCCTGCTTAACCCCACTGTTAATAATAGTACTTAGTGTTTGACATTTTAACAACCTTACGTGTTTGTCGTTGTAATCTTTCTGTGGTCTTGTTTTCATTACAACTTTCTTCACTATGAGGTCTTATCTACCGACCAAGACCTATTGCTTAGGTTGTTTTATCAATAGATTTGTATTTTTCCACCTATCATAGTTTGTCTCTTCGTAATAGTAATTGGTGTATAATATGCTTCTTATTCTTCTTTTATTCTGTCACTACTCCAGATGGCTTCAAAATTTTCAATCAGAATTGAATCGTCTTGATGCAATTATTCAAAATTGTCTTCGACGTATGTGTCGTGTTACAACAACTGGTACATTGATCTCTCAGTTAGGTGAAGCTGGTTCCACGTATGCTCGGTAAGTGGAATATCCTATGGATTTATCATTTGAATTTGTGTTTATTATACAGAGAGAGAGAGAGAAAAGAGTTATTGAATAGTAGGGGATGACCATGCCCACTCCATCGTTCATAGTTTTCATATAGAACTGTAGACATCATCTTAAGATGAATCAGTTGTATAGAAATGGGATATGTTCACTATTAGTTGGTTAGCGTTGTTAATTGATTTAGAGCCTATGATGACATTGGGTGAGTTGTGTACGTCGAGTGATGTCCTTCAAGGATGCCAGCTGTATCCATTCTTATTTAATTTTATCAATGATGTTCTTATGGTCTCCTTCTCGACATCCAACTACACAGGGATTAACCTAGTCAGGAGAATTTTCGGTAGACCTAGAATACACAGATGACATAGTCCTGTTAGGTGAAGACGCTGATAAGATAAACAGTCTTCTGAACACTGAGTGGTAATTTGAGAATTTTTTTAGGATGCATTTCTCACTACCCAAATGCAAATTATTGCTCTACGAATGGTCTTCAACGGTGCACTGACTAACAATAGAGAATGTAGTGGTTGAGTGTGTTGACTACTTCACTTGCCTGGTAAGTAGGATTAGCCCTGGTGGCTAGCTCATCTAAATCAACATAGGACCAGCCATTATTGAGTAACGGTCCAACTTCCCACCACAGCTCATATCACCACATCAAGTAAACAAGGCAGTCAAGTGGAAGATGAAGATAAGAAAATTCAGTCAAAAGAAATATAAAGTACGAAAAGAGAGAAGAAGAGAGAGAGAGAGAAAGGAAGAATGAGAAAGTGGTGAGATTCAGCATAGCGTTAAGATGAAGATCGATAATATGTGTATACATCTGCCCACCACTGACATCGGTTCTCAGCCATGCCATCACCTACAGTCAGTCTCCAACCACTCATTGGTTTCTCTTGTTCCACGAACATCAACCACACAGTCTGTATCGCCCCAAATGGCTCAAACCAACAGTCGAAGACTTCATACATTGATGCCATGTTTTAGTGTGGCCACCTTGAACCTTTTTCCAGTCTGAGCCTACTTTGGCATTATTTATTAAAAAGTGTCTACCACAGAGTACGTTATATACCCAAAGATATTTAAGACATGTGAAAATGTGTTTATACCTATTTTGTTTACTTATTATTCTTATTACTTCTCAGATGTTCTCATTCTTATTCATAGTACATACACATGACCTATAAAAGGATTACTTTATTCTATGGATCGGATCATATGAAATGGTGTCACTTTTTTACACAAAATTGATTGAAAACTGTCTTATTTCAATTGCTGATTTATTGCAATTAACTTAAAGGTAGTCTTCATCACGAAACTGATATCAATTAGTGGAGATGTGACTCATTTATGTGTTTAATCAGTGAATCATGCGTTGAAATCCTGCTTCACCTGCCGAGGTTTGCACAGTTTAGTGTCGGTTTCATCAGCCGTCGCACAATAGATGTTGTTCATTGCCTATTGTGCAGATATCCATGTGGTTACTGATTTTGTATTTCAGCTACTGACCAGTGGTTTTCCAAGTTTTTAACAGGAACAGCACTCCGCACTGGGGTGCAGGTACACCTAGGTGACGAGTTCCAAATGGGACGAAACGCGCCTCCTAGATTCTTCTGCTAGTCACTAAAATCAATGTAATATCGCGGTGAGAAATGTTTCTTCATTTTCTTAGTCAAATAAGATGTAACTTTTGTTAGTTGGAAGGAGGCAACTAACAAATAGCTTTGGACTTTGGTTTCATGCTTTTGGACACTCGTCAGCAGCGTGCATCTGAAGCCCACATGGAACTGTTGTTCCACCCGAGATTCGAACCAGCATCACACAGTATTCCTGTCAGGAATGTTTCCACTGAGCTATTCGAGCCTCGGTTGGATTCGATACATTGATTAATGACTGGAGAGTAACCAAATTCATATTGTCGAATTCAGTCGATCAATATGGTCACCCTACTGCCTGACTCAACATTCCGATGCACTTTGATAGGTATTTTTTGGATGGAGGCAATCGTCAAGGATGTAATTTTGCTTGACAATGCTAACCTGTAAAGACATAATTACTGAGCAATTCTTCGTTGTATTGTGTTCTTTGAGCTGGGCTGTTTAATCGTGGAGAAGCTTTCGTCGTCTTTCTAGACAGCGACATCATCATCACTAACTGTAGCGCGTCGTGATGACCTTGTAGTAGTTTCTACCAACATCTCGTCGTTTTCTCCATGTTTATTTTGATTGGTTGTCATGATGACCTGAAATTTGACTTTCTTGTTGTTTCTTATTGGTTGATAGATTAAGCCAATATGAATATATCTGTTGATTGCTGATTGACCTGAATACCAACTCCCTGGCATTCTTTGCATTTCCTCTATCCTACCAAGATTCCCACATTTTCCCAGTCCATAGCTGTCTATATTCATTGATATGAGCGAAGATATGTCATAACGCTTCACTGCTAGTTGATGTTCATATAGATGGATGCGAAGAAGGCGGATGACTACTCTGCCCAATTTAGTATTTTTCTCAGTTTATTTGTAAATAATGTTTGGTTTGTCTTTTCACCTGTATAACAGAGAGTGTACAATTTTTTTCGGTTCGTGTGATACAGCGATTTCTCAAGGCTTCAATAATGTAATCATCGTGATCTCAGCGATACAATCCGTTTATTCGTTTTTAAGATCGACTTCTTGGTTGATGACGAATTATATAAACATCTTTTAATGAAGTTGCGTAGATAGCCGTTCTTCTGGAAAATATTCATTAAATGGTTTTCTTTTCTCTACAGGGTTGATGTATTACGGCGTATTTTCCCTCTTCTGACCACTGTTTTTATACAACTGATTATATGGGCTTTTACGTTGTTGCTATTATAGTTAAGGATTTGATCCATATGAGTTAGTTTTTTGTGTATATTTCCAGTTGTTATTCATCATAGACTGACATCATTTGGAGCAACAAAGGAAACCTGGGAGCACTGGACAGCTGTTTCGTCCTAGTATAAGACTCCTCGGCGCACCCACGAACCCGCCAGGGATTGGACCTTCAGGTTCCGTGGTGCACTGCTAAGGAGTCCCATACTAGGATGAAACAGATGTCCAGTGCTCCTAAGTTTCCTTTGTTCCTCCAACTGATGTCAGTGTACGATGAATAACACCCTGAAATATTTCCAAATCCTCACAACTCCCTGAAAATTCAATTTTTGTGTATACTTCAATTTTCATTTTTCCCGAATCTGTGAGTAACTCCAACAAACTGATTAACAATAACACCAGTTCTGAATTCTTATAGAGAAAAACCTATACTAGTTAGTGATAACATCTAACTGAATGTAAAGAAATTTCGCCTGACCATAAGTGTTCCATCTTCGCTTGGAATCAAGGAGAACATAGTATAATGGGCTAATAGAATATAGTTGCCTAATTAATCTTTCAAAGAGTGGAGATAATGTAAAAGTTACGATGAAAATTGTTAGTCGATATGAAATGAAGTGTATGTGTGTTTACGTATCCACTTCATAGATGTAAAAGAGGTGAAGAAAGTAACAAGGGTCGTAGTAAACTAATTATCATATCATTTTCACTATCTGAGATAGCCGTAGTTCGAGAGAGTGGTATTATTGATACTGGGTTATGACTGAAGATAAAATGAAAGTTTGGACCGCGTCGGGAATCGAAACAGTGACGCATTGAGTTCCTGGCTCGATTCTCTGCCAACTTAGAGCTACGAGACCCGAATGCTGACCAAATTTTTATTTTACTTCATGAATCATTATTCGTTTCGCTCGACTATCATGTGAATTTATGATACGTTACTACTGCTTGATCATATTCACACTGGCTGCCTAGTCATCACTTCTCTTCCAAATCCAAATCTAACTGAATCAGAGAGGGGGAGCATCGTATCGATTATCATTTTGAAGTGGAATAGAAATCTGGTCAGTAGTCGGACTTCATAGCTCAGTTGGCAGGTCGCTGGTCCGAATCCGTCTGTGGTCGAAATTTTCATTTCACCTTCAATTATCACGCAGTATTAATACTAGTCTACCAAACTACGACTATCTCAGATAGTCAGAATGATAATCAATATGATGCTCCCCTTCTCTGATTCAGTTAGATTGGGATTGGGATGAGACGTCATCACTAGGCAGCCAGTGTGAGTACGATCAGGCCATAGTAATGCGTCACGAATTCACATACTAGTCAAGCAAAGCCCATTGTGATTAGTGAAGTGAAATAAAACTTTGGTCAGCAGTCGGGTCTTGTAGCTCTGAGTTGATAGAGCAACGAGCCGGAAAACTTGTGGTAGCTAGTTCGAATCCGTCTGCGGTCGAAATTTTCACTTCACCTTCAATCATCATCCAGTATAAGTAAGTTCAAATCATAGTAAGATAAGAGATTGAACATATTTCTTCTGCATACAAAAATTTGAATTGATAAAATCCCAGTCCTTTTTTGAAAACTTACATTACACTGTGTATATGTGTGGTCAGCAGCCCTCTAGGAGAATCAGGTAATTTATGAATTTCACATTGTCTTTTTTTTCGTTAGAGAAATATTTCCGACTTTCTTACCTACCTATTTTTATTCAACATTATCACAGTATGATATGATGATTGACGTGGGTCTTGGCACACATATAACTCATCTTTTGAGAAATTTCATGATATTTTTCATACACTTGCGCGATCTGAAGCATTTGGTGTATGTGTGTGTGTATATATACATATTCATGCGATACTTTCAGTGTATCCTTTAGTCTACAGTTGATTTGCTTATATTTTATGGAAATTTTCGTTTCAGTTGCTTAGCTGAAATAGTCAGACGAACAGAATTTGAAGATATGCTAACCCAACGATCTGTATATTATCTGAAGGAGGAAAATAGTTTACGAGCTGAAGAATGTCGTCGACGGCGTATCTTTTCTAAACACTTAAGTATGTATACAAAAACAATATTTCTTTTATTTGGAAAAAAATGTTAACAAAGTGTTTAATTTAGGTTTATTCAAATTTTATGTTGAGGAGTCTCATTCTAAGAAGAAATAAATGTCTGTTGCTATGGTTCATTCAAGAATTCATTGTAGTGTGACCAGTAACAGTTACACTTATGCAAGATGCGTTGATTTCCGTTACGTGGAACATACGACGATGGGCATCGGACAGCCATTTTATCCTAGTGTGAGACTCCTCAGCAGTGCGCATTGATGACCCCATCCCCCCGGTGGTCGAACTCGGGACCTTCGCGTTTCATGGCGAGCACATTACCTTGGAGCCCCTGGATCAGAATCCAATGGTCCATATTAGCAATTTTTGTCAGTTCACGACACAGTGCCACCCACTACTGAGGAGTCCCATACTAGAACGAAACAGTTGTTTACTGTTCCCAGGCTTCGAATGTTTCTCCAACTGACGTCAGCCCATGATGGACATTAATTTGAAAACTTGTAAAAGCTGTTTTTTAATATCAATCCTGTGATCTTTATTAATAATATATTTTGCAAAGGATGGTATCAGTTGTCTGCCATCTACGATTATCAATGTTTATGAATCCAACCACTTTTGTAGCCATTTTGGTACATATTCCCCCTACCCTCAGGTTCATACGTCCTCCCTATGTATGTGTCTCTACACACATGAACACAGTGAGATGTGTCCCAATCGTTTGTTCAGCGTTGACGTCTATGTTGCAACAGGTATTTGGTTGTCTCGACTACAATAAGCTTAAGTGCATAGTATGTTTGTTAACAGCACACCGTAACCTTCGTATTAGATTCTCCTCTCTAATTGTAAAGTGATATAAACGCAATTCTTCGAAACTAACTGTGAATTAGGTTTCAATCCTGGTTGATTTTTGCAGTGGATATCCATTTTCTACCAGGAATGTTTTAGTCAGTATTTTCATATCATAATCCATTGAGTTTTGCTGTATAAAAAGAAACTGTCAGGGGTATATACTTAGATTTGTTGAGGTGCTAACCGTAAATAAATTTATTCCCACCCCCTTCGTTGTATGTGCGGAAACAGTTTACCCTTACCCTAAGCCCTACCCTACCCTATCATCTTACTAAGATTGACTTATATGACAAGTAAGTGTGTATGATCAGATTGTTCGAAATATGTATAGCTTAAGTATATCACATTTTTCAGATAATCTACATCTTATTCAAAGGATTGGTATTTTTGGCTAGTACTTCCTAGATGAAATTTTCGTCTACACATTTTTTTTATTTCAGAAAACAACGTCCTCCATACACTTTTCTCTCCATGGACTAATCCGAAAACTGATTGTATTGGGGTAAGTGTTTAATTTTCTTTTATATCAGAAAGAATTGTATGGGGTTTTTTTTCGGTTAATGATATATGGAACCAGAATGAGAATTCCACTTCTTGTCTATCATGAAACTTTATGTTGGTGATTGAAATCCACCTTGTTAGTCCAATGATTTGAACTCTGTCTAACTTAAAGAGGTTGAAGTAAGTAGTGAATATAACTTACGATGAAGTGAAATAAAAATCCGGTCGACAATTGAACCTCGTAGATGAGTTGGTAGAGCATTGCGTCGGAAACCCCGGTGTTGACTCGTTCGAATCCATCCGCGAGCTAAACTTCCATTTCACCTTCAATTGTCACACAGTATCAATAATACTAGTCTACCAAACCACGGCTATGTCAGTCAGCTAGCCAAAATGATAACTCACAGTCATAAAATTATTTGTTAAGCGAAGCATACTCTATTATTGTTATTATTTTATTTACTCTTGGGTTCCTAGTGGAACAGAGGGCTTCAGTAGCACGTCTCCATTGCACTCTGTTCTTCACAATCTTTTGAACCTGGCTCCACGACTGCCCAGAAGCTCTCATTCCTTCCTCACGCGATCTCCCCCATGTCACCCTCGCCTCAGACGCCCAACTCGCCGTTTCCCGTCTGGGTTCCACTCGAGTGCATGGCGCATGATGTCGCCAACCGACCTTATCAGTGTATGCCCAATCCATTTTCATTTCCTTCGGCATGTTTGTTGGGTGATAGGTTCATGGTTGGTTCGTTGCTCTACCAGAGTTCCTTGTTGCTGATTCTTATTATTCTGACCATCTGATCTTCAGTATCGAGCCAGTGTAGGTGGCAGTTGTTAATGAATGTCTGTAGTTTGTTAGAAGTGCTTCTCGTAACGCGCCAAGTTTCTGAACCATCACATAGCAGCACTGACTTCACTGGCATTGGTGTTGGAAATCCAGATGTTGTTGACGCTTTATGCTGAATGGAGTGGATCTCCACACTGATTTCAGATTAATGAAAATTTATCTTGTTGTCTTTCCGATCGTGGCTTTGACATCCTCATCTGTGCCTGTATCGCCTGTAGTTGAAACGATGCTGCCTGTCTAGGTGGTAGGTGAAAGAGACTACTTCTTTTAGGTTTCTCTTGTTGATGGGGATTGGAGCTTGTTGTAGATGCTGTAGTTGGTTGGGTATCTTTATCACCTCTGTCTTCTCTACATTCACTTGACATCCCATCTTCCTTCGCTGCCTCGCCTCGCCTCTTCTGCCAACTTGCTAGTTTTCGCCTGTGGATCTTCAAGTTTGTGCGACATTAGACATAGCTTATCATCATCGGGGGAGTTCAAATCTTCTTGTGGAGTGTTTTCATCGGTGCAGCCAGCGTATGCTGATCTTCTCACTCCTAACAGTTGTCTGTTGCATGATCCAGTCTTGTCGACCACAATCAGGAAAGTCATGGGTGATAGTAGGCAGACAGCCTTGTCTTGCTTCTGTCTTCACTTCAAAGGCATCATTCAGCTTTCCATTGTGAAATACTTGGCATGTGGCGTCTTCATATAGTTGTTGAATGAGGTTGATAAAGGTTTGTGGCACTAAAACCATAGTGTTGAAGCATTTACCAGACTACTTGTCGGTTGGCGCTGTCGAAGACCTTTTCAAGTCGATGAAGTTGAGGTAGAGTTGACTGCCATTCTATACTCTGTTCTATGATGATATGTAGCATGACGTTGCAATTTGATCTGCACGTGATTTATACTTCCTGAATCCAGCCTGTCGTTATCGTAATTTTGAATCCAGTGCATCCTTTATCCTCTCCGGCCTGATGCGGCCTAATACTCTAATTACTAATAATAATCGCGTGTTATGTTCAAGGTATTTAGGTGATGTACACTAAACGTCTGTTTGTCAATCCAAACTATTCAGCCTGGTCTAGGATTATCGCTTATCAAGTCATTCACTTACATATCTCATTCCTTAGTACAAACACAAATCCAAGAAGTTATATTCGATGTTTTAAAAGGCATTCACTATTTTACATTAACACAACCGAGATTTAGAGTGAAAACCAACAGGATATCAAAATATTCACATCTCTGATTGACGTCAGCATATATTTTCAGCTAACACACCAGTGGTGCTTGTTGTTCAGATCTGAACACTATAAGTAAGCTCACACTCTTTCGGGTATTGGAATTTGTATCATTCAGTCAGAGACCTACTGCTAAGCTATTCAGGTAACGACTTATCTGCAGTAAGGACTGGGTTATTATTTTCTACACGAGTAGGTCATCAGTAAGCAACCAGTGTGTTTGTATTGGAGCAAAACTGAATTTATTTCTATGTCAGGTAGACAGAATTACAATGTCATGTAGACTCAGACGGAGTGAAACTCAAGAGCTAATCGTCTCTATTTTGGTTAGTACACCTATACACCTGTAACAAAGCAAGCTGACCTATAAATATGTGCTGTGATATGGTAGATGAGAGCAACAAAAAGTTTCTAATGTAGTGAGTGGAATAAGTTGGATATAATTGAAATTTGTGCAAGGCCTACTGAAATCTAGAAAGTATAATGGGGAATAATATAACCGTTAACATATAAAGTACACCCGTCATAACTCAGTGGTCAGCTGACAGTTTCATCAAGCTGGATTCCACTGGTTGCCACTATCCATGATTACTAGAACAAGAAAAGATTGTTCTTATGAAGCTGTGAATTCTCTGTGTATGATTACTGGACGGCCACCATTTTTCGTGCAGATAGTTTATGAACTTGTTATACAGTCAATTAATATTGATGAACAGTATCTTCCCAAACTTTTTCTTGGGTTTTCTCTTATTATTTATGATTTCTCACTAGAGTTGTATTACAAAGGCTTGTGGGCCTGTTAGGGCCTCTAGTAAGATGTCCGGGGAGCTGTGCTCGTCGAGTGATGTCAGTCAATGGTGCCTACTATCTCCATTCTTATTCATTTTTATTATACATATTCTTATACAGGTCCTCTCTCGTCACCTGACTACTCAGAGGTTGACCTAATCGCAGGAGAATTTTCGTTAGCTCTAGAATACACAAATGACATAGTCCTGTTAGGTGAAGTTGCTGATAAGAAGCGGAGTCTTTTGAACACTTTGAGTGGCAATTTGAGAATGTTTGCGATGCGTTTCTCACTACCCAGAATGGAAATTGTTGCTCCACGATTCTTCTTCAACGATTCGTCGGCTATTAAAAGAGAGTGTAGTGGTTGAGTATGTTGACCATTTCACTTACCTAGCGGCTAGTTCAGTGGTCGATTGAATCTTCGCACGAATACAAAAGGCTCAGTTGGCATTTTCAAACTTACACCCTCTGTGATATCACCGCCATGATATCCGATTGTCTACTAAGAGCTGAGTATACTGTCCTGCAGTCTGTTCTGTTCTACCGTATGGCTGTAAAACATGGTCATTGAAGGTGGAAGACATAAGAAGGCTTCAAGTGTTTGACCACCTCTACCCTCGTAGTATACACTTAATCCCTTGGTGTCACCACCTCAATAACGCACAAATCAGGATCAGAAACTGAGCTTTAAGGAGAAGAGGTAAATCAGTTGATACGGTTGTTGTGATCCTTCATCGATTGAGATGGTTGGCTCCAACACTTACTACGTATGCCTAGTCATCGTTTGCCTCATCACACAATGTTGGCCGAAGTAGGTCCAGGTTGGAAAAAGACTCGCGGCGACCAGACTAAAACATGGCATCAATGTATGAAGTCTTCGACTGTTGGTTTGAGCCATTTGGGGCGATGCAGACTGTGTGGTTGATGTTCGTGGAACAAGAGAAACCAATGAGTGGTTGGAGACTGACTGTAGGTGATGGCATGGCTGAGAACCGATGTCAGTGGTGGGCAGATGTATACATATATTATCGATCTTCATCTTAACGCTATGCTGAATCTCACCACTTTCTCATTCTCTCTCTCTTCTTCTCTCTTTTCGTACTTTATATTTCTTTTGACTGAATTTTCTTATCTTCATCTTCCACTTGACTGCCTTGTTTACTTGATGTAGTGATATGAGGTGTGGCAACTTGGACTGTTACTCAATAATGACTGGTCCTATGTTGATTTGGATGGATGAATGCATGACTGGGGGAGTGTTTGCTCATCTTTTATAGGTTTTTCAAGCGAACTAACTCACTTTTGTGGTAGATGCTATGAACAATAGGCTTCTGAGGTCAACTTCTCATCGTATATGCTTTTCTCCGCGTACCTACGAGTAATTGTTGCAAAATAAACTTTAAGTAAATCCAGTCGATCATTTTTCTATGTTGTTGACATGAGAATGGTAAATAAGAAGGGATAATCTGACAGTGTTGCATCAATTTAACCCTATGGATTATAAACATGTAATACTTCTTTGTGCCTCAGGAATAACCTAACTGACTCACTAGTTGACTGACAAAATCGACGTTGAACTTTGTACAAAGGTGCATTGGCTGAAGTTTCCACACTTCACAGTAGTAGTATACGAAGAATAGATGAGTAAACAAAGACTGATATCAAAGGTTAATGAAGTATTGTGATGGAATAAAACAGCTTGAGGATAAAGGTTAGTGTGAATGTTCCAGCTTTAGAAGATAACAAGGAGTTACTTCGTCTTCGCCATTTCTGACCGATTTTCAGCCATATCATCAAGTGTCCTCGACCACTGATTTCTTCCGTCTTATGGACCCCAGTCAGGCAGTCTGCATCACCCTATACTACTCAAACCAACAGTCAGAGACTTCATCGACTGGTGCAACGTTTTAGTCTGACGACCTTTAACGCTCTTCCAACCTAGTTCAGCTCCACCTAGCATGGTATATCGAGGTAGGTAATGACGTGAAATATGCAGTACATATTCAAACCATCTCCGTCGACTGAGATTCACAATCTCATTAATCGACTTTCATGTCTTGCCTAACACCTTTCGTCTGACGTCAACATTGCTTACACGATGATTTTATCAATGGTGAGTAATGCAATGAATACATCTACAACCAATTCCCTCACTAAGCGTAAATTGTTGTGCATTTCGGGAGTGAAGATCCCCCCCCCCCCCACAGACAATGATTACTAACTTTATAAGAATATATTTTAATATAATCCAGCGTGTTTAGAAAGACGAAAGAAGATATTTCTAAATGTTTCGCTGTGTAAACCAAAGCTTCTTCAACAGAATATACGGATTTTTTTAATATTAAGATCAAAATATATATAATCAAATGATAGATCAAATATATTTAGTGTATGTAGGTCATTTAGTGTTATTGCTTGTGTTATACGGTCGTTGATTGGAGCGAATTGACTGGTCTCTATTTGGCATATTGGCTCCTGTCCGAATGCCTCGTTATTACCTGTGTTTTAATTATAGTAATGATGGATAGTGGCTAGCAGTGGAGTCCAGCTTGACGTACATTTCATCCTATTTGGGACTCGTCAGCTGGATATACCTGCACCCCAGTGCGGAGTTATGTTCTTCCTACCGGGATTCGCATTCAAGACTGATCGCTTCAAACGCCAGAGCGTTATCCACTACACCACCGATACACACGATGCGACGGGCATAGTTGTAGTGTTATTGATTGTAATATACCGTCGTTGATTTGGTTGGATGATTTTTCTGTCGAACTTGAGTAATTAAGATTAGTCATTTCAAGTTCATACTTTTTATGAACATTTGTCAATGAATATATAGGATAGTTAAGGTGTGTATGTTTTTGTTGTGCTGTTCATTGTACTTTTATGTATAAAATTGTCAATTATTACCATTGTAATTGTAGCTTGAATTCGTAAAGGTTACCGCAAGTTGTTATATGTACTGAGTGATGCTTCAAGGTGAAATGAAAATGCAGACCGCGGTTGGACTCGAACCACCGACCATCGGCTTACCTCATGTTCAATCATCACCCAGTATAAATACTAGTCTGCCAAACCACGGCTATCTTAGATAATCAAATCATAAACGAGTGGTTATGTCAGATTAATGTTTTCCAGACAAGTGACAAGTTCATTCCTTCTTTTGTGTTTACAACATTTATGTTGTTAAAATGTGACAGGATCTCAGTAGGTAATCTTTCTTCATGTGAATGGAAACCTTTTCTCAAAGTCATCCATGTGTCCACTTTTCGATTGCATACATAGCTACATTGTTGATCATTTCTCTAAATTATTTTGAAAATTAATTTTGATTCTTCTCCGGTGAATGTTTCCAACATAATTTGTGTTCATTCCGCATAACGTTTAAGGGTCTACAACTTCCTCCAACATAATTCGCTTCATATTCTAAACATTTAATTGTGTAGACACATTTGTTGTGTGTCATCTTAGTAATTGTATCTTTCATTTTGACTAAAATCTTTTCTAATGGATTTGAAGGTTTAAAACATACTTTAGTACTGTTGACAAGTATCTCTCCGATATATAGTACCGTTATAGATGATCCCCGTGATTTCATTGTACCTTTACTACTAATAGTAGTAGTAGTAGTACTTGCTGTTTTATTCGTTTGATCGATAATGTTGTTCAAGAAGTTTTCAGGGTATCCCATTTCCCACTAAAACATACTTTATTGTGGAGATTTCATTTTCAAAATCATTAGGATTAGTTACGATGTTTTTCGTCCTGTTTAGTAAGTTTTTTGGATAAGACAATGTAAGAAGTTTAGAGTACCGTCCTTAGATTCTGTTTCACTAGTGAATTCAATGAAATCTGAAGTCGAATTTCTGTGTTCTAAATATATCTGCTGGTCTACTTTCTTAAGAATGGCAAATGTGTCATCCACATATATCTGGATTAGGGTTAGTGATACAGAGACTGGAAACCATCATTCTACCTGTGATTTAACCAAAAATTTGGATTCACTATGTAGACGATACTTTTGTCATCATTAAAATAGACGATTTAGCAAACACTCGCAGATTGATCGACAACGTTTTCAATGACATCAAATTCACAATGCAAAAGCAGTCAAACAACCAACTACCATTCGTGGATGTTCCAGACAGTGGGACAAATGCCGGGAACCTTGCAACCCAAGTGTACAGAAAGCTAACCCAAACTTAACATATCCTCAGCTACAGTGAAAACTACCCAACAACGCAGAAAATCAGTTGCATGCAGACACTATTCAAAAAGGGCGACAACACACTGAAGTACAACAACGTCAAGGAGAAACGAAGAAAATCACGTGATGTCTATCCTAATGAAGAAGGGCAACTCACGAAACTTTATCAGAATATGCCTATCCTATACACCACCAACCACAAAGTCATCCACAGAAACCAACAAACGCATCGTCCTACCATACATAAAGAATATTTCAGAAATCAGGACAAAATTACTGATACCACTTGGTGGGATTGATGTAGCGCCTCATAAACCAACAAATTCCCTTCAAACACTATTATGCAGACCAGACGGTGCAACAACCAAAGAAGTCAAACTGAATATCATCTACAAATCAACTGCAATAACTAACTGTGGTCAACCCTACATAGGTCAGAGTAGTTACCCTCTTCACCTTCGTGATTTACATGAACACCAATTGGCTATTAAACTTCACACAAGACATTCACCACTCAGTGCACGTGGATAGCAGCTATGGGCATGAATTCAATCTCGACAACATAGAAATTTTGTATGGAAAGAGGAGACATAAACAATATCAGAGAATTCCCAGAAGCTTGTCATACGGGTCAGGCAGTCAGTAATCAATATATGTATAGACATAGACCCAATCTGTCATCCAATAAAAAAAAAAGATAAATTACAGGAAGGTCAGAGGTATAGGAGAGTAACAGCCAACAGGAAACTCCATGCAGGCAGTCAATGACATAACAATCAGAGGAAACAACCACTCACAAACGAGTTGGTCAGGTCAAGCTACTGAATCACTGACGGAGAGATATTGACAACTCACTTCATATTGAAGTTAGTACTGATGATGTCGCTGTCTAGAAAGACGATTGAAGCTTCTCCACCATTAAATAACCCGTATCATAGAACACAATATTGCAACCAAGACCATCCACTTGAGCTACAAATATCTATACCGAATTCCGGATTGGGATTGGACACTTGTCAAAGCTTTCCGATAGAGATTCGTCACAACTCTTTTTGACTGATGTTACATTCTATCTCTAAGCATGAAATATGTAAATTCTAATCAAAGCTTCAACCATTTTATAATTATCCTCTGTTGATTACATCTTGGTTATTATTAATGGAAATCCCTGCAATAACTAGACACATTTGCTAATTAGTATACTAGTAAACAGAGAAATAATATCACAACTTAGGATAACTTCATTTTCTCCTATGGTCACAATTCAGCAGTTTACTTTTGAAATCCTGTGCATTTGAAGAAATGTTCCACTAGAATGGTTTTGAGAATTCTTGAAAAATATTTAGATAGATGCTAACTTCTTGAAATTGTAGTCTTAGGATCAATGATTTCTTGGAGACTGTATTATTTGTTAACTATTGAGGTTGAACAGAATGATCGTCTAACCAGATGGCCTACATCCACTCAATACATTTGATGTATATATTTTGATGTTAATAAAAACATCCGTATATTCTGCTGAAGAAGTTGTGGTTTACACATCGAAACGTTTAGAAATATCTTATTTTCGTCTTTCTAAACACACTGGAATTATATTCAAATATATTCTTATAATGATTCAATTAGACTCCGTTGCTCAACTTCTTCCAGGGCATTCGTAACATCTATGGTCTGGATGTTTATAGTTATCAACTTTACTTATTTTTCTTGTGTTGGTTGAAGTTTAACTGTTTTCTCAGTCTCTGTGCTAATTTTTTTTTATGGGTCATAATTATTTCTAGCTGATCAATTTACCGACTTCAATAACTATGTCACAAGATGTCACAGAACAGCAATTATGCGAAATCACTTCTACTGTGTCAACTGTTTCTACTACTGTAACAACTCAAAAAGTTGATTCCTCTTCACATTGTCATCCTGTTACACCTGAATTGGCAGTTAGTCGAAGATTCGCCTTATCTTCATTATCTGAACCACGTTTAAATGAATTGGCTAAAGTGTGCGCATTACATCGTGTAAATTCACGTGTACGATCTAATCGATTGAATTCATTAAGTTCTCCAGATCCTCAGTTGGCTAAAGTGAAAGAAGGTGAAATGATTGAATCTATTCGAAAGAAGTATACAGATTCTAGTTATACTTCAAATCAACATCAACATCATCAGACACTTCCTCATCATGTTGTCGTAAACTTACGTCAACATACCCAACCAGTAGTAGATTCAAATCGTCGTGCATCTATACCATTAGATCAGGATAGAGAAACAACTGTATCGAATTGGTCAGTTGATTCGTCATCTGTTGGTTTAACAAACCATTTCTGTACAAGTAATACTCTTTTCTCTATAGGTAAACAACCAGTTAAGATTACACGTGAAGATTTAGAAAAATTAATGTCATCTATGCCATCTAGTGTATGTAATCTTTTACGAACCGAATTGAATAAATCGTTTACACTGTTGAAAAGTTCTTCTTGCATTGGTGGTGGAGGTTATAACAATCTGTTGGATCAATCATCTGTTACAACAGGTCTAAAATTAACTTCAACAACAACAACAACAACTACTACTACTACAATATCAGCGAATACTCTTATCACTGAGAAACAAATAGATCGTTATGCGACAAAATCAGTCAACACATCTCCGTTATGTAGTACAATTAACCAACCATTCTCATCATCATCATCATCATCATCATTGCATCTTGTTAGTGTTGCCTGTCAAACACAATTCAATCTAATTGGACCAGTTATCAATGTTGGATCTGGTCGAAGTTTAAATTCTAGTTTAGGATTATCAGTTGATGAGTAAGTTTTTATTTTCTTTTAAATGTCTAATATGAATCCTTATAAAGTATATTTCATAAAAATGTGTACATTCTACTATTTGGTAGTTGGAAGAAATTTACCTCATAGAAATAATTTGAATTCTTTTAACTGATCTATCTCATAACCCATGAAGAAGTAAAACGACACATCTGTTCACAAAGATGGTGATTTTTATATCTCATATCTACACAAAGTATGTATGCTTAGATGTTCTGTTCGGTTCTTAGGATTGATTATTATAGGTAAAGGAGTTTAGTCGATTTACAAAAGACCTCTTCACTCAAATATACGAAACCTTTTTAAACTCAAATAATATCATTATCATCGTTTTATCTTACTATACTCGTATCTTCATCATCATTATCGTCATCTATCAATATAGGACCAGTCATTATTGAGTAACAGTCCAAGTTGCCACACCTCATATCACTACATCAAGTAAACAAGGCAGTCAAGTGGAAGATGAAGATAAGAAAATTCAGTCAAAAGAAATATAAAGTACGAAAAGAGAGAGAGAAAGGAAGAATGAGGAAGTGGTGAGATTCAGCATAGCGTTAAGATGAAGATCGATAATATGTGTATACATCTGCCCACCACTGACATCGGTTCTCGGCCATGCCATCACCTACAGTCAGTCTCCAAACACTCATTGGTTTCTCTTGTTCCACGAACATCAACCACACAGTCTGCATCGCCCCAAATGGCTCAAACCAACAGTCGAAGACTTCATACATTGATGCCATGTTTTAGTCTGGTCGCCGCGAGTCTTTTTCCAACCTGGACCTACTTCGGCCAACATTGTGTGATGAGGCAAACGATGACTAGGCATACGTAGTAAGTGTCGGAGCCAACCATCTCAATCGATGAAGGTTCACAACAACCGTATCAACTGATTTACCTGTTCTCCTTAAAACTCAGTTTCTGATCCTGATTTGTGCGTTACTGAGGTAGTGATACCACGGAATACAGCGTATACTACGAGGGTAGAGGTGGTCAAACACTTGAAGCCTTCTTATGTCTTTCACCTTCAATGGGCATGTTTCTCAGACATAGAGAGTAAAGCAAAGTGTACTGTTGTGCAGTACACGCGACCCTTAATGTGTTACTAACCCGCATAATGAGTATCTATCTAGAGGTTTATGGAGATTTATTAATTGATTTCACGCTGGAATTTATCATGGACTGACATCAGTTGAAGGAACATTAGAAAACTTAGAGCACTGAACAGCTGTTTCGTCCTGGTATGTAACTTCTCAGCTATGCCCACCCATGACCCCCATCACGGATTGAACTCATGTTGAGCCACTGGGTCGAATGCATTGGTCGATATTTCCAACTTCTGTCAGTTCACCTTAAAGCACGATTTAAATTCATTGTCGTCGTTGGGTAACTGTTCTCATATTCGACTTGGTTGACTCCACTAGTCATGACTTCTGATTGGAACTTCAGGAATCATCTGTCGAAGGTAGTCGCTAATGAGAAGTAGGAAATATGGACCATCTAATTCTTCTGAGACAGTGGCTCAATGGTAACGTGCTTGCCACGGAACCTGAAGGTTCTGGGTTCGATCGCTGAAAGGCGATGTCATGGGGCGCACTGCCGAGGAGTCCCATACTTGTCGAACGAAACAGGTGTCCAGTGCTCGTGGTTTTTCTAATGTTCCTCTAAGTGATGTCATTCCATGATGAATTTCAGCCTATAATCAATATCTGGTCTCTAATGTGTAGTAGTGTTAGTATTGACAGTACCATCATAAGTAGAGCTGTAGTTCAATTATTTACGTAGTTTGGAGTCCTGTCTCAGTGGTTTAGTGAGATGACTATTAACCATTGGGTCATAGATCCGAACCTCACTTCAACTACGAAGGTTCTAGTAGTCAGGTTGTATCACTAGCCTTCACACAATACATGTAGCTTACTGTCCGCTGCATGAATGTACAGAAGGCAGCTGTGTGTATTGCGTGTTATGTAGTATCAGTAACCGTCAAACAAAATATAGTACTTATTGTGCCGTGAACAAATGTGTATTTGCTTTCTGAGTCGTTAAGTTATTTTGTGTTACGTTTCTGACGTATGATAAATAATCATATTATTTAATTTAAATCCTATTTAAACTATCATCTAGTTCAACACGTCGTACTGCTATCAATAATGCTGGTTGGGAAGAACTTCCAGGAAGTTTGTGTAGTTGGGAAATTTGTCGATTTCCGATCATACGATCACGTGATCGTATCTCAATATCATTGAATACATTACCACGATATGAACATTTAGTTACAACTGCTACTCAAACAGAGTCATCAAATGAATTACCTGAAACAAATCTCATCAGTAACTCATCAGTTCCAGATAATAATGATAATAATAATCCTGATACCGGTGCTGCAGAAGTAGATTCAACTTTACAGAAAGTTGAAAAAGAAGTGAAGTATTCAGGACAAAATGTAAGTTGAATGTTAGACCTTTGTGGAGTGGATTTCTATTCTTAGTAAAATTAGTCATGTGAATACTAGGCATTACTTTTGTTAGTTATGGAGATAAGAGTATCATTATGCCGTAATCAAAGCTTAAATATCATTCTGTTGTTTTTTGCTGAGTAGTTACTATAAAGTCTGTAAGTTTTTATGCAGTCGGTAGCAAGTGGTTTATAGTTAATACTGATTTCAGTCTATTATTATTATTACTATTTTCCCTTGGGTTCCTTGTGGAACATAGGGCTTCAGTAGCACGCCTCCATTCCACTCTCTTCTCTGCAGTCTTTTGAACCTGGCTCCACCACTGCCCACAAGCTTTCATTTCTTCCTCACACCACATCCATGTTACCCTCAACTGGGACGTCCAACTCGTCGTTTCCCATTTGGATTTCGCTCGAGGTCCTGGCCTGGTGCATGATATGCCCAGTCGGCCTTCTCAGTGTGTTCCCAATCCATCTCCACTTTCTTCCACTGCATATTTGTTGGGTGATAGGTTCTTGGTTAGTTCGTTGCCCGGTTAGAGTTCCTTGTTGCTTATTCTTTCTGACCATCTGATCTTCAGTATCGAACCAGCGTAGACAGCTGTTGATGAGTGTCTGTTAAGTTCTTTTCGTTGTACATCCTTGCACTGGTTCTTCTTCTGCCTCACCATCTTCCTCTCTTCTATCGGCTTCCATGTGTCCGTCGAGATCCATTCCTTGTGTCATTTCCTCTTCCTTCCTAGTAAGATTATGCAGGTTTCTTTCCATATAACTTTCAAAGAGTTCCAGTGTTCTTCCACGCCTGATCCTTCAGAGATGTTATCTCCCATTTTTTCCTGATGGCTGATGTGAAGATGTCATTTGTAGTTTTGTCCTTCAGTTTCTGTTCTAGGTGTTGGACTTGAACTGTGGTCTATCACCAACTTCTTTCAAGGCTTTCAACTTGATTTTGAAGGCAGGCTCCTTGCAGTAGGTAGCAAGTGGAATGAACCTACATCTGCTCCTCTTCGCAATCTTGTGTCCAGTAGGCTACGTCTCCACTTTCTTGAGCTTGAGATGAAGTCGATCTGATTTTTAGTGTGTCCTAGTGTCTGGTGAAGTCCATGTCGCTTTGTGAATATCCTTGTGTTTGTACACGCTGCCTCCAATCACCAAATCGTTTAATGCACAGAAATCTGCAAATAGTTCTTCATTCTCATTCATTTCGCCCATGAGTTCTCTTCCTGTGTTGTCCGCTCCCCACAGTTTGGCATTCATATCACTCGTTAGAATTTTGATGTCATTAGGGCCATCTGGGTTGGGGTCTTGTCGATTACTGATTGCAGTTGTCTATAGAATTCTTCCTTCTTCTCTTCATCTGCATTATTTGTAGGTGTGTAGCATCGAATGATTGATTTTCCTTCCTTTTGAGTTGAATCTCGCTGTAATAATCCTGTAGGAGGAGACTGATTCCTATAACATGATGATTAATGTCTTAAAAATGAAATCCTCATTAACCTCAAAATACATTAATGTATAGTGCGCATTAGTAGTGAGATGCTTCCAGATTAATATCCCGAGGTTTGAAGGCGAATCTATGTTGACCTGTTGGGATCACTGACCTCCGATACACTGGTTGAATGGTTAACGCGTTCACCATAAATCCTGATGGTCTCCTGATTTCGATCCTTGGGTGAGGGGATGGGGTCATGGTTATATGCTGCTGAGGGGTCACATACTTGAACGAGACAATTGTTCAGTGCTCTTTAAGAATAAAATCCTCCTCATCATCATCATCATCCTTAAAATGCAATATCGTTTTGACTATGTGAGATTATTGAGACTGGGTGATAATTGAACATGAAATGAAAATTTGAACCGCGGACGGATTCGAACCGGCGACCACCGGGTTTCCGGCCGATGCTTTACTAACTGAGAGCTACGAGGTTCGACTGCTGAAAAACATTTTTATTTCACTTCAATCACAAGCCGGGTTTTGCCCGACTACCAAATGAGTTCGTGATGCATTACTATGGCTTGATCGTACTCACTCTGGCTGCGCAGTCAGGACTTCTCATCTAAATCGAACTGAATTACAGAGGGTGGAGCATCATAATGATTATCGTTCTCACTTTCTGAGCTAGTCGTGATTTGGCAAACTTTTATTGATACTGAGTATGATTCGGATTGGAATGAGAAGCCCTGACTAGACAGCCAAGTTTGTGCCACATTAGATATAAATCATCATCATCGACGAAATCCAAATCTTCTTCTGGTGTCTTTTCATCAGTCCAACCAGCGTATGCCCATCTCACTCCTCACAGTGTGTTGCATGATCCAGTCCAGTCCACTGCAATCAGGAACATTATGGGTGATAGTAGGACATCAAATAGATACTGGACACTAAATAGATGCTAGCACAGCTTTCATTGTGACACATCGCGTCCCGATGACTCCACCATATACCATTCCTGTACGCATTCTCCATATAACGGAAGCTGTATGTATAAGAATAACGAAACCTAAAATTTGTATTTAAAAAAGGAATATGTCCAAGCCATACTCCTCTCTTGGCTTTCTACTGACTAAACAGTATTCCCCCAATCCTCTTGTTTCTTTCTCAGTCTTTCTTTTTAAAATAAGAAAACGAAATTATTATTATTATTATTATTAGCAGTAGTAGCAGTAGTATTGCTATCATTTTTAACCAGAGTTCCCTGTTTTATCATAATAAACGTTTGAAATCCCTGCTAAAATTCCTCTTCATATTATTGCTAGTTTCATTATCTTAGTCGTTTCATATATTAACCATCTGTTATTACTAATCATTGATATACTTTTAATTCTCCGTTGCTTTATTGGACCGAATCATTCCACCTTTATTGGTATATTGGCTTCTATGCGGATGCCTCGATATTACCTGAGTGTTGATTATGGTAATTTGGTTGGTAGTGGCTAACAGAATAATTCAACACCCGTTTCCGCATAGGAGTGTTTATACCAATAGAGGTCCAACAATTAGATCCAATGAAACAACGGAGAATTAAAAGTATATCAATAAATAGTAATAACTATGATCCCTTGTACAAGAAGTAGCTATCGTTCCTCCGTGGCATAGTGGATGACACCTTGGCGTTTAAACCCATGGGTACGAGGTTCGAGTCTTATTTGGGACAACATCACTCAATGACGTGCGAGTAAATACAGCTGACGAGTCCCAAATAGAACGGAACGTGCATCTTGGGTTCCTCTGATAGCCACAATCAACCAAACAACTATCTGTTGTGATGACATATACACTCCATTACTGCCCTTATGGTAAATTCATGTCATCATTCTTTGTACTAATCATCACTCACTCGACACAGTGTGCAACCTTGAACTTTATTCATAATTTTCCTTCCCCATACATCTGATCACCGATCACTTGTACTGTGTGATGATTGAAGGTAAGATGAAAATTTGGACCGCTGTCGGCTTCTAACCAGCGACCCCTCTAATTCAGTTACTTTTAGATTTGGATGAGAAGTCTTGACTAGGTTGCCAGTATGAATATGATCAAGTGTTAGTAACGCGTCACAAATTCATATGTTGGTCGAGCGATGCCCTGCTTGCGATTGAAATGAAGTAAAAATCTGGTGAGCAGTCGGATTTCGTAGCTTTAAGTTGGTAGAGCATCAGGTCGGAAACCCGGTGGTCGCTGGTTCGAATCCGCCTGTGGTTTAAATTTTCATTTCACCTTCAAACATCACCCAGTATGAATACGATATTCAATCTATGTACAACTTTCTGGAAAATACCGAGTTAGCTTAGGTAAACAATCATATCACCTAATACGTAAATAGTAACAGGCTGCGTGCTCATTAGTTAGTTGCTTATATTATCCCATCGTTAGTTGGGAAGAATTGACCGGTCTCTATCGGCGTATGCGGATGCCTACGTCATGTGGATTTCGGTTAGTAGTAGAATCCAGCTTGACTCGAAGGTCTAATGGATAACACCCTGGATTTTGAAACGATTGGTTGTTGGAAGGGGGCAACATCGGTTACTGGGAGATAGGTGCATCCAGCTGACGAGTCCTAGATAGGACAGAATGAGCGTCTTTGATTCTACCCCTATCCACTCACCATCAATAATATCAAAGTTGAAAACACAGGGGCATCTGCAAATGAACCCCTATACCAATAAAGACCGATCGATTCGGTCCAATCAACGACTGGGATAATACAAGCAATATCATATTGATTTCTATACTCCTGTAATCATGAATTCCATTGCAGTGGATTTATTTTCATATCTATCATTTTCTTCTTTTTATTTATTTAAAGAATTCAGAATCACCTCAAGAATATGATAGTGAAGTGTATCACTTCCCTTTTCATTCATCTTTACCTCATGATGATATTTGTCAAGAGTCGAAAGTTTTGTCAACTTCTCCACAAAGTATTTTGAGCACAGAAATCAATGATGAGAATGTTGTTCTATCATCTATATTCACTGAAGATGATTTGTTTACTGATTCTACCTTAATGATGACGTCAAGTTTTCATTCAACTCGAACAACATTTTCAAATAACATTTATGATAATACTACTACTAATAATAATAATAACAATAAAGCTGATTCTTCATCACAGCATACAGCTTTAATGTCGGTCAGCCAAAGTCGTTCAGTATCTCTAAGTCGGAGTAGTAGTAGCAGCAGTAATCTATGCGATATAACAGGTGGAGTTGGCAGTACAACTACTCAATATGGATCTGTGATATATGATGGTAAGTTGTTTCATTAATATAAGTGTAAAACTTAGGCATTGTGATGCAATAAAATTCCATATAAGATTTATTCAGTGGATTTCTAATACATGATGATATAGTATTAGTCACTAGATGACGTTTCGAGCATAGTCTCTATTGCTCATCATCATATCAATGTGTAATCACACTCCAATTTCGACATTAGATTTTTATAGTTATGCCATCTTTTATGAGTTGTTTTTATTTGTAGCAAAATTCTACATATCTCTGCTCCAGATTGGTGTTGCCTCATTCCTGTTACATGTATTGGATGAGGATTGATTCGGTGAACGAAGATTCAGTAATCTCTCTCCCTCTCTCCACCTAATTATATTGAACTTGAGTACAATGGTTTTATCCCACTCACCCTACTTTGCGTGTTGTTGTGTGTCAATCCACGCATTGCAGTAGCCGAGATTTTCCAGTCTAAATTATTCATCTTATTCGGGTCTCCCATTCTACATTTCCCTAAATTCTTAAGTTCCGCTAATCCAACTGTTCCCGACTAGCTAGTTTCACCTATTTATTTGACCTCACAGTCATAACATGGAATTTGATAGGTTAGATTATTTTACTCAATTGGTTCTATCAGATCCTTATGCCAGCCAACAGCTTATCTTGGAGTGAGTTTGTAGGTTTAAATGCTACCCTAATTCCAGCTCTGTTGAGGATTCTACGAATACTTCCTGAGGCACCCTCCTTATAGGATAACACAATGGAGGTTGTGAACTCCTTTCCACTCGTGTTGTCCTTATTATTACGTTTCTAGTATCTTCCTACGAATTTCTTAAGAAACTGCAGAGGATGATTATTAACTATCAGCGCCTCTTTTACATGTTTCAATCCCTCGTTTAGGTTCTTGTCCTGACTAGTCAGTTTTGTAACTCTATCACTTAGACATCTGACTAATCCTGCCTTAACTGACTTTGGATGGGATGATTTGAAGTCTAGATACCTGTTGGAGTGTGTTGTTTTTCTGTAGACAGTAGTATCGAAGCCACCATCTGTTCTTCGTTTTATCCAACACATGTAATTCTCCTTGTTCATTTTCTACCTCCTTGTAATTGAATTGGATTGCAGTTACTACTGAGTTTATATGCATGAGGAAATTGTCGATATGTTCCGATTTCAACACGGTAGTGAATGTGTCATCCACATATCACCGCCATATTTTAGGTGCAGGATTAAACGTTTGTGAATGCCATGTTTTCCCAACTACCATAAATATATCTGCTAAGATTGGGGGTATTGGCGATCCCATTGCAACTCCTTGTGTTTGTCTGTATGTTTTATCCTGAAACTTGAAGACTATGGAGGTCAGGCATAACTGTATACCTAACATAATCTCTCTCATCAACCGATATCTGAGTTCTGTGAGTAAGTTTTGAGTCAATATTTAGTTGACTTCTGACTGCCTCCAGTGCCATATTGATTGGTATTTTAGTATACAGACTAGTTACATTGAAGCTAACCATTTTTTCATCCTCTTCTATGTGTAGGTCATTAAGTCTATGTTTTAACTCGTAAGAGTTTAGTAGTCTGGAATTTGAACTGTTCTTAATAGGACACAGTATCGAGGCTAAGTACTTTGCTAGTTCATATGTTGGGGTATTTCTGAAGTCAGCTATAGGTCTAATACGATAACCTCGTTTATGAACCTTAATAGTGCCATAAATTCTGCTAGGATTATTAGTTTAAGGCATTAAATTAAACCATTTAGACTAGCCTAGAGATGGTTTCAGTCAGCGTATCGGATCGGGTGTAGATTTCTCGATTTTATTCACGATCGTGTCTAAGGGCTTCTTAATTTTTTTCATATGGTCCTGTTCGGATATGTTCGTCAATTTTTTTGAAGTAATCCAATTTGTCCATAACTACTGTTGCATATTGCCTTTATCAGGAAGGTAAGTTGTTTCACCTATCAGTTAACTCAATGGAAGACTTACTTGATTTTCGTTTTAATTATCATGTCTAACGGTACTCATTTAATACGAAGAAGCTTATATGTTACTCTTTTAATGTTAATTCAGTTCTGCACGTGATGGATGACCAACTGTAAATTGTCTGGTCTTAAATGTGACCACTTGACTAGGCGACTCAGTATCGTGATGCACTTTTGATAAATGTTAGTTGGATAGATGTATTACAGAGGGCATCTCAAACTTTATTCTTCATGTATTAGTATGGAAAAGTTATCAATAAGTATTTTTCATTTAATTATCTTTCGTCATATAAATATTCTCTTCTCTGTTTTAGTGCGAATTATTATTATTTTGAGTTGTACTTAGTTTTTACAATCAACTGACTAATAAATAGAGCGTGAAGTGGTTGAGTGCGTTGATCACCTCACTGACCTGGTGGGTCAGTGGCTGACAAAATCTCTGCATGGATACAAACAGCTCGATTGGTGTTCGCTAACTTCTGCTATCTGTTGCTCCACTGCGATATCCCATTATCTGTTAAGGATTGAGTGTACTATACTGCAGTTTGTTCAGTTCCACTGTATAAACGTTAAACATGGCCATGAAAAGGCTTCTCCCGTCTGATTACCGTTGTCTTTGTAACACAGGCAGTGTGTCGTCTTGTTGCCATCACGTAAGTAACACGGAAGTTAGGTGTAAAGTTTTGAGGAGCAGTGAAAAGTTACTTGATGTGACCGCGAACGTTCATCGACTGAGATAGCTGTGACATGTGTTACGCATGCGTAGTGACCATCTGGATCGTTACGAAATGTTACTTGAAGTAGGTTTTGGCTGCTGGAAAAAGGTTTGGTTCGGCCAGACTAAAACATGATAACATAGGTATCTTCCGCTCATTCTTCACGTTTCGTGGAATCGACATGTGCGCAGTGTTGAAGTTAGGCGAAGGGTACTAAGCAAGATAGAAAAAGTGGTCGACGAGTTTGTAAATCTTAGTTGACTGAAATGAATTTGAGATGTACTGCGCATGCTGAGCCATCGCTTACTTTGACTTGCCATGCTCATGGAGGTTGGATCAGGTTGCAAGCGCATTCAGGGTGGCCACACTAACACAAAGCACCAGTCGACGAAGTCTCTGACTATTGGTCTGAACTGTGTAGGTAGATGCAGGTTACTTGACTGGGATCGCCAAAACGAGAGGAATGAATGGTTGAGGACTCTGGATGATACGGCTGAATGTCGGTCATAATCGCGAAGATGTATTCACTCGTTGCTATCTTCTAAAGCAATCGAGAGTGAAGTGGTTGAGTGCCTTGGGCACTTCACTAACCTGGGAAGTCGGGTCAGCCCCTGGTGAGTCAGTGGCCGGTGAAATCTCTGCGCAGATACAAAAGGCTCGGTTGGCTTTAGCCACCCTCCGTGATATCCGATTTTCTATTAAGGGTCGAGTGTACTGTGCTGCACCTGGCTCGCTCCTACTATATGGCTGTGGAACATGACCTTTAATATGAGAAGGCTTCAGGTGCTTGACCATCCTTACCTTCGTAGTGTCGGCCGTATTACGTGGTTTCACCACCTGAGTAACGCAGAAGTCAGACTCAGGCGAAGAGTTTTAAGGAAAAAGGGTAAAAGTTGACGTGTTTGTTGTGAACCTTCATCAACTGACATGACTGGCTCCGACATGTGTTACTTATGCCTAGTCATTGCCTGCCTCGTCACACAATGTTGGCTGAAGTAGGTTCAGGCTGGAAAAAGGCTAGAGACGGTCACACTGTGTGTGATATGGCTGAGAACCGATGTCAATGGGGAGAAGCTGTATACCTACATTATCCTCATCTCATTCTCCCTTCCTCGCTTTTACTAATTTCTACTTCTTTTGACCAATTTTTCTTACTTTACTCATCTTCTATTTCATTACCTTGCTACTTGATGTGGTGATATGAGATGAGGTGTATAGCAACTTGAACCGTTATACAGTAATGCATAGTCTTATGATGATGATGAACTTCTAAAGCTTGAATATTCGCATTAACTGCTATCTTTATTTTGTTTATTCTGTTAAACAATTTCGTCTACTTTGTTATCGGTCTTTCTTCTGTACTACAGTGAATTGTTGCAACTTGGAGCGATGCAGTTATGTGTATGTGTTTGTGTGTGAGAGGTTCTACGTTGATTTTGTCTGGGTATTTTATCTATGGGGATTATCTTGGAGTTGTTCTTCATTGTGTAGATAAACAAGACACAGAAATAGAAACAACCGAGAATTCTGTATGATAGATGTTAGCTGAGGTGGTTAGGAGTAACCAGTTGAAGTTTGTCTTTACTGGTCAAATGTTCAGACCATCTGCTTCTACAAGGATTCTACTAACTGGGTTAAATTTCCTCGATTGATTTCATCTTCTATCATTTAGAACTTAATTCGTGTAATTTTGCCAATTAACTGATTCTCTTGTATGTGTGTGTGAACTTCATTAAGGCTTTTATTACTCTCCCTAAACACTATTGCTTTTAGTTGGTACTCAGTAGTTAGTTGTTACCTTTCACATGTTGTGCTTACTAATCAATCATAGACACAAATATTTCTTATCATTTTGATTATCTAAGATCAGTGTAGTTTGGTACATTAGTATTTATACTGGATGATGGTTAAAGGTGAAATAAAAATCTGATCAACAATTACACTTAATGGCTTAGTTGGTAGAGCATCTTGACGACAACCCTAGTGGTTTTATTATTTATTTATTTTTCCCTTGGGTTCCCAGTGGGACATACCGCTTCAGTAGCACGCCTCCATTCCACTCTCTTCTCTGCAGTCTTTTGAACCTGGCTGGCTCCACGACTGCCCAGAAGCTCTCATTTCTTCCTCACGCGATCTCCCCCATGTCACCCTCGCCTCAGACGCCCAACTCGTCGTTTCCCCTTTGGATTCGACTTGAGTGCCTGACCTGGCGTGTGATTTCCCCAATCTGTCTTCTCAGTGTGTTCCCAATCCATCTCCACTTTCTTCCACTGCATATTTGTTGGGTGATAGGTTCTTACTTCGTTGGTTTGTTGCTCGACCAGAGTTCTTTGTTGCTTATTCTCACTATTCTGACCATCTGATCTTCAGTATCGAGCCAGAGTAGGTGGCAGTTGTTGATGAATGTCTGTAGTTTGTTGGAAGTGGTTTTCGTGACACGCCAAGTTTCTGAACCATCACATCACATAGCAGCACTGACTTGACTGACACTAGTATTGAAGATCCGGATGTTGTTGACGCTTTCTGCTGAATGGAGTAGTGGATCTCCACAGTGATTTTAGATCAATGAACGCCTGTCTTGTGCTCTTTCCGATCGTGGCTTTGACATCCTCATCTGTGTCTGTGTCGCCTGTAGTTGAAACGATGCTGCCTGTCTAGGTGGTAGGTGAAAGAGACTACTTCCTTTAGGTTTCTCCTGCTTGTGGTACGTTTCCTTCCTTCTAAATCTTCTGCAGTAGTGGCGTGAGCAAGCATATTGGTGGCTGGTTCGAATCCGGCCGCCGTCCAAATTTTTACTTCGCCTTCAATCATCACCCAGTATAAATATTTCTGTTGGAAATAGAAAGACAACAGACTAGTGTAGAACCTAATGCAGAAGTCCATCAATTCAAGTAGACATGTTTCGCAGAAATATCTGAAGAATAGATAGATGATAAAAGCGTATGGTACGCTCAAGAACAGATAGATGAAAGTTGAAAGAAGAAATTGAAAAATCTGAAGATAATAAAAAGTGTATAAGATCTATGCTATTGTGATTTAATTTTAAGTCATTTTATCAAGAATCTTTAACTACTGTTTCTTATCATCATGATTACCTCAACTAGACATTCCTATATCTCTGTGAACTACTTGCTCAGACCAAGAGTCAGAAAGTTTATCGATTACTTAGTGTCTTGGTATCTTTATCTTCATTTCAAGACTATCCTACTTAAAATGATACCACCATACATCAATGTGGGTTATTGTTTAGCTGTTATAGGCTTACAACTTCATCTAATGGACTATCTTTATTTAATGATCCCTGTTTTCAGATAATGAGTCTTGGTGTAGACTTACTAAATTGGTGACTTGAGTTTAAATACTTGATAAATACTATATTCATATATCTCACATCAGTCTTTTAGGCGTTCATTATTTACAGTTTAGAGAGTATACTCTTGAAAATATCTCTGAGCACGACCAAGATTATATATACAAATGTTTTCAATGATGTTGAGTTGTATATCTCATTCTACTAGCCAATCGGCGATGAGTTCGTATCCCATGCCATCTATCAAGATTTAAGCAGCCATGTAGTAAAATTATCAATAACCCTAACAACATCATAAATCTGGTTGATCACCTCTCCTACATGAATGTTGTACAGAGTTGTTCAGTAGATTTCGATATCTTTTTTTTCTCTATCTCAATAATATTTTTAAGTTTTTGGATATTATTTCTCTACTTTTCCTTTTTAAAAAAAAAATTATGAAAACAACGGAACAATAGATGTCAAAACGTCTCAAAATGTTATGTTATTATCCTCCTGCTCATCATCATCACCACCTCCACCATTACCGAGAATAGAAATTCCAGTGAGTGAGTCAACAGATCAACAAAATCAAACTACTACATCTCTTTCATCCTCAACATTATTATTCGATAAATGTTGTTCACAGTGTCAATTAAAATATGCTCATCATAAGGAATACTTTAACTTACTTCAACAATGTCTACAATTGATCGACAAGCGTGTTAATCATCATCAGCAACAACAACAAGGAGAAGAAGAAGAACAAGCTAAAAATTCAGATAAACTGAGAATACAAAAACCAATTACTCTATCGATTGAAACAACACCTAGATCACCTTTAATTTCACTGGATAGCTCGCAGTTAAAGTGTCTTTTCAATGTAAGTTCGTTTGTAGAAATGTTTGTTGATTATTATTATTATTGAAAAGACGAGTTGGGCGTCCGAGGTGAGGGTGACATGGAGGAGATCATGTGAGGAAGAAATGAAAGCTTGTGGGCAGTCGTGGCGCTAGGTTGAAAAGATTGCAGAGAAGAGAGTGCGATAGAGGTGTGCTACTGAAGCCCTATGTTTTTATAGGAACCCAAGGGAAAACAATAATAATACTAATGGTAATAATAATGATGATAGTTATTATTATTATTACCGGTAGACTTGGTGATTGAACTGAGATAAAAATCTAGTCAGCAGTCGAGTATCGTAGGTTAGTTGGTAGAACATCGGGTAGATAACACGCCAGCGTCACTGATTCGAATCCTTTCGTGACTCACATTTTTATTTCATCCAGTATCAATAAGATATACAACGTTTATCTTGTACTATTTTCAATTTATCAACTGAGTGTAAACCTACTTTTCAGAGAATGTTTTTTCCAAAATACTAAGTAATCTGGTAGAGTTACCGTGGGGATTATTGAAAACGATGAGAATTGGATACATTTAGTCGATGAGTCCCGAATAGTTAGATAATCAGGCAAATAAATTAATCTTTTATACAATGATATCAAGTTCGAGGATTTGAACGACATTCCACCAACCAAGGTTTGGGCAGTTGGGTAGTAAGTATCACTTACTCTGGTTCATCGTCTGTTGCATGAATGTCTACAAGGTTGCTGAGATTTCAAGTTATAACTTTAATAGGAAGCTTCGAACAACGCCAAGTATGATATGTTAGAGTTCGTGCTTATTATCTTTTATAGAAAGACAATCAAAGCTTCATTATTTAAAGCACCCAGCTAAGAGAACATAACACAGTAACACAGATATCTTTGTAATTTATTATTATTTGTCCTTTGGGTTCCTAATGGAACATAGGGCTTCAGTAGCACGTCTCCAGTGCACTCTGTTCTCTACAATCTTTTAAACCTGGCTCCACGACACCTCAGAGGCTTTCATTCCTTCCTCATACCATCTCCATGTCACCCTCGTCTGAGACGCCCAACTTGTCGTTTCCCATTTGAGTTCCACTCGAGGACCTGGCCTGGCCTGACTTGGTGCGTCATATCCCCTTAACGTCTTCTGAGTGTATATCCAATCCACTCCTATCCATCTCCACTTTTTTCCACTGCATATTTGTTGGGCGATAGGTTCTTGATTCGTTTCTTCGTTGCTAGTCAGCCAGAGTTCCTCCTGACTTATTCCTGTTATTCTGGCGATCTGATCTTCACTGCCATTATCTAGTGACTGTTGGCAGCAGCTGTTGATAACGTATGCTTGCAGTTGTTTGTTGGAAATGCTTTTCGTAACGTGCTAAGTTTCTCAACCATATAGTATGGAAGCAGTGCCTAACTTGACTGATATTAGTGTTGAAAATGGTGATATTGTTGATGCTGTATGCTGAGTGTAGTGTAGTGCAGTAGATCTCCACACTGATTATTTAAGATTAATGCAGGAAGTCCTGTGTTGCTGTTTTCGATTGTATGTTTGACATGCTGATGTGTATCGCCGCCTGTATTTGAAAGGATGCTGCCTATGTAGCTATGTGGGTGAAAGAGACAACTTCGTTTAGATTTCTCCTGTTGATGTTGATTGGTGCTTGTTGTTGTTATTGTTGTTAGTTGAGTATCTTTATCATCCGTGTCTTTTCTACATTCACATGAAGGAATTCCTATCTTCCTTCGCTGCCTTACCTCACCTCTTCTGCTAACCTGTTAGCTTTCGACTGTAGATCTTCGAGTTTGCGTGACACAGAACATTAGATATAAATCATCATCATCGGTGGCTAAATCCAAATCTTCCTGTAGGATCTTTTCATAAGTGCAGTCAGAGTATGCCCATCTTCTCGCTCCTCACAGTTTGTTGCATGATCCAGCCAATTGCATTTCACCACAATCTGGAATAACGTTGGTGATATATGGTAGGCAACCTTGTCTAACTTACATCCCCTGTTTTCACCTCGTGATGAATTCTATCTCAAAATTTGTTTTTAAAAAAAATTTAATGTACCAATTGGTAAAGTCAGTCTGTAATCAATGTTTTGATAATATTTCCAGGTGAACTATTACACTTTAACGCACAATTCATTGGGATTGTTTAATTCTTACAAGGATTATAGGTGATAAACTTTTTACACCTGGATAAAAGGGCACAATAATTCTTTTTTATGATTTACCTCATTCTCAAATCTTTTCAATACTTTCAAATTTATAGGTCTTGGAATCATGTTCATCACTGTTTTTAAAATCGAAATCTACAACGTGTATATCACATGAAAATCCTTCTGTGGAGACAACAGATGCTAATGTCGTCGGTAATACAGGAGATGATAATGATGCTGATAATGGAATTTCTCATCAAAATAACTTGTCGACTACTCTAACAGGGAATCATGAAAAATGATTAATTCAACATCTAAAGAAGTAAGCTGTTTATTCAGTTTATTTATTATTTAATTCTCAGCTATTGGAGAAATATTGAAAACTTAAAGAGTACTGGATAGCTGTTTCGCTCTAGTATAAAACTCCTCAGCTGGATGCACATATAACACTACTTGCCAGGTTTCATGGTGAACGCGTTAACTATTCAGTCATCAACCTTGAAATACATTAGTGTATAGTGCTCATTAGCAGTGACATGCTTCCAGATGAATATCCTGAGGTGCTAATGACAATGTTTTGGCCTATGAGTCAACCAGTCAAAGGGGGTTGTTGATGCTAGATGAAAACCTTGGATGATAGTCGCGTTATAATGTGGATTTACAGAACCAGTGTAGTGTTAACCACTGAATTCCAACAGAGTGGTTGAATGATTAACGTGTTTGCCTCTAGATCTAACAGCCTCCTGAGTTCATTTTCTGATGGGGTATGGTCGTGGTTGTATACTACTGAAGAGTCTCATACTAGGACGAAACAACTGTCAAGGTGTCCCTAGTCTCCAATATCTCTTTAAACAAAGAATATATCAGAAATCAGTACACGATTACTGAGACCATTCGGTGGAATTGGTGTGGCGCCTCATAAACCAACAAATTCCCTTCAAACACTATTATGCAGACCAGACGGTGCAACAACCAAAGAAGTCAAACTGAATATCATCTACAAAATCAACTGCGATAACTAACTGTGGTCAACCCTACATAGGTCAGAGTGGTTACCCTCTTCACCTTCGTGATTTACATGAACACCAATTGGCTATTAAACTTCACACAAGACATTCATCGCTCAATGCAGGTGGATAGCAGCTATGGACATGAATTCAATCTCGACAACATAGAAATTTTGTATGGAGAGAGGAAACACAAAGAATATCAGAGAGTTTTCAGGCGGTTGGAGGCAATCGGCAGGAGGCTATTTACCTAGGTTTCATTCTTTTTGGCACTCGTCAGCAAGGAGTATCTGCAACCTCGATGGAACTGATGTCCCGCCTGATATTCGAACCCGCGTCACCGAGTGTTGTAGTCAGCGAATTTACCACTGAGCTATTCAGGCCACGATTGACCTGTACGACTGGCTTACACGTACTGATTGGTCACGGGAGTGCAACCAATTTCATATTGTCTAGTCCTGAGTGCAGACTGAATTTTATCTATCATATTTGCAATGTGGCAACCAAGCTATGAAGCTCAGCATTGCGGTGCACTCCCGTGGCCAATCAATATATGGTATCCAGTCGTACAGGAGGTCAATCGCGGCCTGTATAGCTCAGTTGTAAAGACGCTGGCTACAACACTGGGTGATGCGGGTTCGAATCTCAGACGGGACATCAGTTCCATCGAGGTTGCAGATACGCCTTGCTGACGAGTGCCGAAAAGCACGAAACCTAAGTTCAGTGCTTCCTGCCGATTGCTTCCAACCAACTAACATCTGCTAATGTGCACCGCGATGCTGAGCTTCATAGCTTGGTTGTCACGTTGCAAATATGATCGGTAGGATTCGGTTTGCACTTAGGACTAGACAACATGAAATTGGTTGCACTTCCGTGACCAATGAATACATATCAGAGAATTCCTAGAAGATTGTCATTCATGTCAGTCACTCAGCAATCAACAGATGTATAGACATAGACCCAATCTACCAACCAATACGAAAAATGATAAATGACAGAAAGGTCAGAGGTGTAGGAGAGTAACAGCCAACAGGAAACTCCATGCAGGCAGTCAATGACATAACAATCAGAGGAAACAACCACTCACAAACGAGTTGGTCAGGTCAAGCTACTGAATCATTGACGGAGAGATATTGACAACTCACTTCATATTGAAGTTAGTACTGATGATGTCGCTGTCTAGAAAGACGATTGAAGCTTCTCCACCATTAAATAACCCATCTCGGTGAACACAATATACAACCAACACCATCCATTAGAGCTATAAATATTCTCTACTTTGGCAAATGTTTTTTTCATTGTGAAAGTGAAAGTTATTGAGATTAAACGTTTAGTATCAATGTAATGTTCAATTAGTAGTCTTCTTACAGATCCTCTACTACCTCTATGTAGTAGTCCTTCGGGATATAGTGTTCACAAAATATAGTGATAAATCTCTTCAGAGTTCATATGATCTAATTGATACTCCACAAATATTTGTATCACCAATTCGTAAACGATTAAGAGACTTTCATCATGTTATATTCATCTTGGTAACTAGCAGTTCAATCTAGCAGGTATATTTAGTCCTGTTGGAGATTCGTTAACTTGATGTACCTAAAGCCTCATTACCCATTACTTCAAATGCCAAAACATCATCCACTTGGCTATTGGGATATGTAAGCCCCTTCAATTATTGTCTTGATACTTGTAATTATATATATATATATATATATATATATATATATATATATATATATATATATATATATATATATATATATATGGTCAACGAAAGTTGACTAATTCTGCCTTGCATAGCAATAGCCACGGGAAATTGCAACTATCATCGCATCATCAATATCAGCATAGGACCAGTCATTATTGAGCAACAATCCAAGTTGCCACACCTCATATCACCACATCAAGTAAACAAGGCAGTCAAGTGGAAGATGAAGATAAGAAAATTCAATCAAAAGAAATATAAAGTACGAAAAGAGAGAGGGAGAGAGAGAGAGAGAAAGGAAGAATGACGAAGTGGTGAGATTCAGCATAGCGTTAAGATGAAGATCGATAATATGTGTATACATCTGCCCACCACTGACATCGGTTCTCAGCCATGCCATCACCTACAGTCAGTCTCCAACCACTCATTGGTTTCTCTTGTTCCACGAACATCAACCACACAGTCTGCATCGTCCCAAATGGCTCAAACCAACAGTCGAAGACTTCATACATTGATGCCATGTTTTAGTCTGGTCGCCGCGAGTCTTTTTCCAACCTGGACCTACTTCGGCCAACATTGTGTGATGAGGCAAACGATGACTAGGCATACGTAGTAAGTGTCGGAGCCAACCATCTCAATCGATGAAGGTTCACAACAACCGTATCAACTGATTTACCTGTTCTCCTTAAAACTCAGTTTCTGATCCTGATTTGTGCGTTATTGAGGTGGTGACACCAAGGGATTAAGCGTATACTACGAGGGTAGAGGTGGTCAAACACTTGAAGCCTTCTTATGTCTTTCACCTTCAATGGGCATGTTTCTCAGACATAGAGAGTAGAACAAAGTGTACTGTTGTGCAGTACACGTGACCCTTAATAGACAAAGTATCATGGCCAGAGAATTTCATGTCGATATATTATTTTTTCTTACTTTTTCAATTCCTGCTTAATTTCTTTCAATACATTTTTTTCTTTCTTCAAATAATATCTAGTGTCCATGTCATCTTATGCCAACGATGGACATTAACGAGGATACACTATCAAGCCAGTTTGATTTTGTAAAATCTTTACACTGTCTTGTAGAAAAACTAAACATAAATAATTCTAAATCTACTGTATGTATGTCTACCTCAACAACACCATCACTACAGGTATCTTCTGAATCTGCATTAACTCAAACAGAAGTTATTCAAGCTGTCGATGTTGCTACATCAATAACATTTCAAAATCAAACAATTGAAGGTAAATACTTTCTATTCAATATTGTGTATTTCTTAAGTATTATTATTCTTTTTCCCTTGGGTTCCCAGTGGGACATACCGCTTCAGTAGCACGCCTCCATTCCACTCTCTTCTCTGCAATCTTCTGAACCTGGCTGGCTCCACGACTGCCCAGAAGCTCTCATTTCTTCCTCACGCGATCTCCCCCATGTCACCCTCGCCTCAGACGCCCAACTCGTCGTTTCCCCTTTGGATTCGACTTGAGTGCCTGACCTGGCGTGGGATTTCCCCAATCTGTCTTCTCAGTGTGTTCCCAATCCATCTCCACTTTCTTCCACTGCATATTTGTTGGGTGATAGGTTCTTACTTCGTTGGTTTGTTGGTCGACCAGAGTTCTTTGTTGCTTATTCTCACTATTCTGGCCATCTGATCTTCAGTATCGAGCCAGAGTAGGTGGCAGTTGTTGATGAATGTCTGTAGTTTGTTGGAAGTGGTTTTCGTGACACGCCAAGTTTCTGAACCATCACATCACATAGCAGCACTGACTTGACTGACACTAGTATTGAAGATCCGGATGTTGTTGACGCTTTCTGCTGAATGGAGTAGTGGATCTCCACAGTGATTTTAGATCAATGAACGCCTGTCTTGTGCTCTTTCCGATCGTGGCTTTGACATCCTCATCTGTGTCTGTGTCGCCTGTAGTTGAAACGATGCTGCCTGTCTAGGTGGTAGGTGAAAGAGACTACTTCCTTTAGGTTTCTCCCGTTCATGGTGATTGTTGTTGTTGTTGTTGGTGGTGGTGGTGGTGTTGGTTGAGTATCATCATCACCTCTGTCTTCTCTACATTCACTTGAAGTCCTGTGTCGCTGCCGTGCTTTTTCTGTCTACTTGTTTGTTTTAGCCTCTAGATATTGAAGTTTGTGCGACATTAGGCATAGCTCATCATCATCGGGGAAGTTCAAATCTTCTTGTGGGGTGTTTTCATCGGTGCAGCCAGCTTATGCTCATCTTCTCACTCCTAACAGTTGTCTGTTGCATGATCCAGTCTAGTCGATCGCAGTCAGGAAGATGATGGGTTATAGTAGGTGGTAGCCTTTTCTTACTCCTGTCTTCACTTCAAAGGCATCGCTGAGCTTCCCATTGTGAATTACTTTGCATGTGGCGTCTTCATATAGTTGTTGAATGAGGTTGATAAATAGCCGCGATTCACCTCCTATAGTACTGAGTAACATATGTTTTTATTGGTCACGGCAGTGCAACCAATTTCACGTTTGCTATTCCTGAGTGCTGACTGAATCCTACCGATCATATTTACAGTGTGGCCACTACGCTAGGAGGCTCAGCATCGTGGTGCACATTAGTAGAGTTTAGTTTGTTGGAAGCAATCGACAGGAAACCCTGGACTAGACAAAATGAAATTAGTTGCACTCCTGTGACCAATCAACAAGCGTAGAGACTGCCTTACCTGTCCATGTCATTGTTCGAGAACTGATAAATTAAAGGTGGTTGCTTTCAGTTTTGTGTTTCAATTCTAATCACGTACTGTTTTGAAGACGTGTAAACTTTTCACCCTAATGGAGGTACAGCTGGGAGATGTTTTCCATTAATTGAGTATTTCAGATGAAGCTGCCTAGGTGGGAAAAGGTGATGGTGATCTACATTTCACGGCAGTTTTCTGTAGAACAGCAATAGATTCAACTTTACCCAGAAGTTGGTCAGTCAATAAAGAGATGATGGAGACTATCCTGTCTGTATGTGTATGTACAAAGAAGATTGCATAGTCTAAAGCAGAAAGTAGAGTAAGTTTACGACATGAAGAGCTACTTCTTGGCTTGATGATCTAGTAGATAACGCCCTGGCGTTTGAAGCAGTCGCTCCCGATTGCGAATTCTGGTGAGACTAACATCACTCACTGGGAAGCAGGTACATCCAGCTGACGAGTCCCAAATAGGGTGAAATGCTCGTCAAGATGGATTCTACTTCTAACAGCTATCCACCATTAATATATATAATTTAAACATAGGCATTATCAAGACATTCGCTCTGGAGTTCATATGCCAATAAAAACCGATGAATTCGATCCAATCAATGATGGGATGATACAAGTGACAACGGTAGAACTACTTCTATTGGTGGTAAATCATTTACTTTATTAACACTGTCACTATCGATTCTTCTACCAAATTATTACATTCGTATACTTACAGGTATTATTTACTCATATGATGCTTAGTGCACATATACCAAGTTTTTATCTTTTATTTGTGTGTGTGTTTCATCCCCGTCACTCCACTTCCACCCTACAACACAAATAATTTCTACTTAACTGCAATAAACGATTATTCATGTTGTGCAGGATACATGCATAGATTCATATACATCTGTTTATGTCTTTTTTTTTAATAATATGGATTGACCAACTTGTGCTCAAATAAATAAAATGGTGGAAACAGTTAAACATTCCTTAAATCATTGATTTTACTCACAGCTTGCAAATACTTACATAACTGGATGAAGTTCTCAACAGTGATGTTATTCTCTATACATTTGACTCTTTTTTTTACTACTGTTACCCGTCAATGTGTCAATATCTATCTGTATTATTGAGTTTTGGTTTTTTTCAGTTGACTTTGAAACGTTTACTCTTTAGAAAATATTTCAATATTTGCCACCAATCGATAGAGATGCAACATTTAAGTTATATTCATCTTGGGGACTAACGCTGGGATGTAAGAGATGCCTTTTGTCCCATTTCATGCTCATCAGTTACTGTGCCCACACCTCAATGGAGAGATGGGCACAGAGTTCGAGTCTCTGTGAGGATTAGATTACTCACTGGGATAAAGATACATCCACCTGATGAGTCTCTAAAACAAGACGAAACATGCGTCTTTCGTTTCACTACTAGTCAACAGAGATTGAGCGATTCGACGATGTATTATGGCAACGGAATACTCTAAATATCAAAATAACGCAACATTAAATTATCATTTTATGTGAGGACGGAACTTCAGGTAAATGTAGAGAAGAAAGAGGTGATAATGATACTCAACCAACACCACCACCACCACCAACAACAACAACAACAATCACCATGAACGGGAGAAACCTAAAGGAAGTAGTCTCTTTCACCTACCACCTAGACAGGCAGCATCGTTTCAACTACAGGCGACACAGACACAGATGAGGATGTCAAAGCCACGATCGGAAAGAGCACAAGACAGGCGTTCATTGATCTAAAATCACTGTGGAGATCCACTACTCCATTCAGCAGAAAGCGTCAACAACATCCGGATCTTCAATACTAGTGTCAGTCAAGTCAGTGCTGCTATGTGATGTGATGGTTCAGAAACTTGGCGTGTCACGAAAACCACTTCCAACAAACTACAGACATTCATCAACAACTGCCACCTACTCTGGCTCGATACTGAAGATCAGATGGCCAGAATAGTGAGAATAAGCAACAAAGAACTCTGGTCGACCAACAAACCAACGAAGTAAGAACCTATCACCCAACAAATATGCAGTGGAAGAAAGTGGAGATGGATTGGGAACACACTGAGAAGACAGATTGGGGAAATCCCACGCCAGGTCAGGCACTCAAGTCGAATCCAAAGGGGAAACGACGAGTTGGGCGTCTGAGGCGAGGGTGACATGGGGGAGATCGCGTGAGGAAGAAATGAGAGCTTCTGGGCAGTCGTGGAGCCAGCCAGGTTCAGAAGATTGCAGAGAAGAGAGTGGAATGGAGGCGTGCTACTGAAGCGGTATGTCCCACTGGGAACCCAAGGGAAAAAGAATAATGAAGTCGCTGACTACAGCACTGGGTTAAGCAGGTTCGAATCTTAGGCGAAACATTAGTTCCATCGAGATTGCGGATATGCTTTATCGCTAAAAAGTAGCAACAAGCACGAAACCTAGGTCAAGCAGGGCTCACTGCTAACTGCCTTCAACCTACTAAAGTATCTATGCGTAAATATCATCCCAGTTACAATGAATATCATCTCTGATTTGAGATCTTGAAAATACTACTAGAAAACTAGCTCTCTCCACCTTCAGCACCTAAGATTTGCTAAGCTATTCGATCAAATCTTAACCATATAGTTCATATAAATTTGTATTAACCTTTGCACAATTTATATCCTTTGCTATCGTTGACTTACAAATTAATTGCCTTGATATTTTATACGTACTATATTGAAAACGTAATAAGATCTGATTGAAAATAGTATTGTTTGCTTGTATGTCTTCTTTGAATCTAATAACACTTCACTATCTGAATGACAGGCATTAGAAACAAAATATTTTTGCCTCTTCTTATTGGTGACTATCTTCAAGAAATGATTTTTGAAGTTATAATAAGAAGTCATGACCAGTGGGGTCAACAAAGTCGAAAATAAGGACAGTTACTCAACGACGATATTGGATGTAGGTCGCGTTATATCGTGAACTGACAGAAGTTGGAAAAATTCTCCACCGACTAGATCAAAGTCTGTGTAATCAGGCAGCGAGATGGAAACCTCCATAAGAATATCTATGATAAAATTGAATAAGAACGGAGAGAGTGGACATCCTTGAACGACATCACTCGATGAGTACAGCTCACCTGACACTCACCATAGGCTCTAATATGCCCACAAGTGTTCGCGTGGAGGACCTTCAACAAGTAGATGTACTTAATTGGCACGCCTTTCTCGATCAATGGTGTCGAATACCGTCTTCAGATCGAGAAATATAGCTATTGTTTGGCGTTGGTAAGCGTATCTGTGTTCCAAAACCTGGCGCTGTGTGAGGGGCGGGGTCATAGATGCGCACTGCTGAGGAGCCCCATACTAGTCGGACGGAACAGCTGTCCAATGCTCCCAGATTTTCACTGGCTCCCCAACTGATATCAGTCCATGATGAATACTACTTCTAAATGAAAATACTATTGTTATGTATTTCTACTGGTTATCACCATCCTGCCACATAGACACACATAAAAACATTGACATATGGAGGCAAAAGACAAACAAACATTAAATTAAGTTTACTGTTGAAGACAACCAAATATCTGTTTTATCTACCATAAACACATGATGAACACGTTGAAGAAACGATGAAAACAACAGAAAATGAGACAAAATAAGACAACCTTATTGATTACTGGATGCGAATATAGTTCAGACAAAAAAAGTGGAGAAAACAAAGGAATACCTTTGGAAAATAAATATACAAGCGAACCATTGTTGCATTATATCTGAAGGTTTGTGGAGATTTATTCATTGGTTTTAGGTTTGAATTTATCATGAACTGGCATCAGTTAGAGGAGCACTCGACAGCTGTTTCGTCTTAGTATGGGACCCGTCAGCAGTACATACACATGACCCGGCTAGGGATCGAACTCAAGACCTTCAGGTTTTACGGCGAACGCGTTAACCATTCAGCCACTAGGTCGATTTTCAGTGGTTCACAATTTCCAGTGGACGAAACAGCTATCCAATGCTCCCAGATTTTCAATGATTCCCCAACTGATATCAGGCTGTGCTGAATACTACTTCTAAATTAGAAAAAATCCCCATTCATCTGAAAATACAAAAATACATCTGTAAATATTGGTCCTAAATAAAAATCTTATAACCAACCACTGCATCAACTTGTCTGTATAGATAGATTACTGTTGAACAACATGAACTAGACATTTTATTGTTCGTTTTAGCAATGGTTCTGTTAAATTTATAATTGGAATACCGATGTCCAATAATTGTTCACAAATAAAATCGATGATTTTCCATTAGAGGGTTATTAGTAGACAAAGATTTAACATCTAGGGATCTCATATATTTGTTGCTTTACATAATAATGATGGGCAGTGGCTAGCAGTGGAATCCAGGATGCACATTTCGTCCTATTTGGGACTCGTCAGCTGGATGCACCTGCCTCTCAGTGATTGATATTGTTTCCATCGAGACTCGGACTTGAAAGCGATCCCTTCAAACGCCAGCGCGTTATTCACTGCACCACCGAGCCACGATAGCCACTTCTTGTGCGATGGGTATAGGTTTAGTGTTACTGCTTGTATTACACCGTTGTTGACTGGACCGAATTGATCAGTCTCTGTTGGCATATGGGCTCCCATGTGGATGCCTCGATATTGCCTGTCTTTTAACTATGTATAGTAATGATGGGCAGTGGCTAGCAGTGGAATCCAGGATGCACATTCCGTCCTATTTGGGACTGCCCATCATTACTAAACATAGTTAAAAGACAGGCAATATCGAGGCATCCGCATAGGAGCCTATATACCAACAGAGACTGATCAATCCGGTCCAATTAACGACTGTGTAATACAAGCAATAACACTAAATATTTGTTGCTTTTTATAAATGATTATAAGAATGTTTAGGTGTTTGAAATGTTATAATCCTATTATATCCAGTCGTTGATAGATAATAAAACACAGTTACATATATATTTCATATTTTGAAAGCATATTTTAAGTTGTATGCATTATGACTTGTAGTGTTATTTTATTCTCATTGGTACTTCTTTACTATCTCTAGGTAACAATTCTGATGAGAAACTGACGTCTACCTGTGTAAGTCTAATACTATGCCTGGTTTTTTTTGTTTTTTTCTTAGTGTCTGAACTTTGAACTATTTCAAATTATACCAAAATTCGCATTCTTTTAGTGTGTGTGTGTATGTATGTATGTGTCGTATCGTATCAAGACCGATTTGTTCTCTGTGGAATTTTATAATTTTCATCTATTTCTAACTTTAATTACTTCGATTCCCTGTGATAGATAAAATAAACATTGTTCAATTCCGTCTATACAGGCTAACAAGATCACTACTACTAGTGAACATAAAGTAGTAACTAATACTATGAAACTGAGCACATATAAAAAATTGAAAGATTTCTCAGTAATAACATAATGATGATAAAAATGACTCTTGCACCTGGTGTGTTAGTTTATGTAACGAAGTTTTGAGTTATACTTACTGTGTGAGAGATTACAGTACTCTCTGGTTGTTCAGGTCAAAGTAGATGGAGCAATGAGTTTTGAATCATAACTTGAAAATTCAATACTTAAGTCATCACGCCACATTGCCATAGTTTTGAACATTATGACCAAGGCAGAGAAGAAATGAAATGAAGAGCAATGATAAAAATTTCATTGAGTAAGTTGTTAAAGTATACAAAAAGCCAACTCATATGGATCAAGTCCTCAACTACAATGGCAACAACGCAAAAGAAAATAGTTATATAAAACATTTTTCCAAGAAAGCGAAGACACCCTGTTATACATCGACCCTGTGGAGAAAAAAGAAAACTATTTGTTGAATGTTTTCTAGAAGAACGGCTATCTACTCAACTTCGCCAGAAAACGTAGTAATGATACTTATAATTTCTCGTTACTCCGGTGGTTTAGTGGGTAATACTCTGGGGTTTTAAACGAAGGGTACTAGGTTGGCGCCTCAGTGGGAACACCATCACTCCCGCACTGGGTTGCAAGTACATCCAGCTGACGAGTCCTGGATAGGCGTCCTGGATTCTCCTGCTAGTCACCAAGATCAATATAATTTCATCAAAATATATTTATATAATTCGTCATCATCCAAGAGGTCAGCTTTTGAAACCCACATGTTGGACGTCTCTGAGATCACGACTAGATTATTGAAGCCTCTTGGAATCGCTGTATGTTACAAGCCCACAAAATCTCTTCACTCTGTATTATATAGACCAAAGGATACAGTAGGATAGAAAGACAAGCCCAACGTTATCTAAAAAACACGACATTAGACAGGATGGTCGCCCTCTTCGAATCTGTCTACATCAACACCAACCAGCAGTGAAGCATCGTAGCACATCTTCGCTCATATCGATGCCTACAAACAACTTGGGAAAATATGAAAATCCTAAATAGAGGAAATACAAAAAATCCCAGGGAATTTTGAAAAGCTTCATATTCAGACCAATCAGTAATCAATTTACATATTGCAATTGACCCAATCTATCAACTAATAAAAAAATAACAAGAAGCTGAAATTTCAGGTCATCCAGACAACCAATCAAAATAAACATGGCAGGAACAACCAATCACATACAAGGCCATCAGGATAAGCTACTAAATAAATTATGGAGGAAACCCTAGAGCTCACTTTTTTCTGAAGTCTAGAAAGACAATGGAAGCTTCACGATTAAGTCATCCAACTCAGAGAACACAAGACCCTCACAATTATCCTCCTGAGCTATAATTATTCTGCATCATCTCAAAGTCTCAGTATTTCTTTGCGGCGTTTCGTAATTTGAGTTCCAATTTACCTAATCTGACAGGTTAAAATCGATTTGTTTCACATGTTTTCATCCATTGTTTTATCATTTATTGCATTGAACTAATTAATAGACATTTAACACACATTTTATGTCTACATTTTAAAAAATAGCGTTTAGCATTTTAATTGCTTTTTTTTAAAGATTCAATGACTCAACACTGCGCTTTTCATTTTACACTAATAATAATTATGATTATTATTTTACCAATTAATCTTCTCTTAAAATTGTTTTACAACAATTGATCTCAACATCCACTGCAAAAAAGAAAGAGAACCACAATTAACGAAAACATCGTCGTGATGAATAAGTTTGCCATGATTGAATCAGCTGATCAATGCATCAGTTGACCTTGTCCTTGAAGGTCATTTGAGCTGTATGTGATTGAATAGGTGTTTAAATGTTGATTGGATTTTTTTTTAGCTAGACGATTGACAGTCATATAACTATGCTCTCGTTGATGTGCTTATTCCCTTGTTCTATAAATCTTTATAATCAAGTGATATCTGCCTGTGAGAGTAAAACGTAGTACACGGTACATTACGTGAAATAGAGTGACAGTATTATTTTATATGTTTCATTTCCTTGTGGTAGAAATACTCCGGATACGATATCCAACCACCTATCAAAAGATGAATGTACTGTGTAACAGTTCACGTTCTGTATTGGCTGTACAGCTGTAAGATACTGCAGTTGAACACAGAATACATGAATAGCTTACAAGTTTTAAATCATAGATTACTTCGTTATATTGCCTAATATTTAGTGCAACCACACAGACAGTGACCAATATTTAGATTTTAAAAAGGCAAGTTGGTTGTATTCTTCATGTCTAACCAACACATTCCTCGATGTAAAATGTTACCTTAAATGAGATTAGTTTGGAAGAGAGTTAATGAGAATAAGACAAAGGCATGTGAACAGTTCTGGCTATTAGTATGATCTATGTAAGGAAATGCAAATTGATTGGTTGGTTGGTTGAAGGTCATTGTGATGTTTGTAATCAGTTGATTGGTTCAAAACTGCCTCATTTAGCTTATCAAATCTCTCGATTCAGTGTGTCATTAATGGCCTAATTTAATCCCGAAAAGTAATATTTATTCCAGTAGAATTTATGGTACTATTAAGATTTACACCATAAGCTAACTTATCCTTTAGCAGGCCCATAGTAAGTTTCAGAAGCACTCCAACTTATGAGCTGTGTAAATCTCTGGTACTAGGCCTGATTAGAAACTACTAAAAATTTTAACTCACTCTTATGACTTAAAACATAAATTATATGATATACAAGTGGATAACAGACAGTCGTTAGTTTTGATATGAGTAGCCTTTACAGAAATATACCGATCGACATCGCTTCGGATTTAATGATGAAAATGAGCTTACGCATCGAACTTATCTGCTAGGCGTGCGATTGTGCCTGACATCTATAGTTTTTAAGCGATTCCTATGGCATCATTAATATTCGCAATATTTTACGTAGCAGACATATTTATGGATAGTTGGTAACGGAATGGTCGCAGTGGCACAAATGTTATTCACTCTTGGATATCTTCTAAAACTTGACTCTTCCCAATCAAATTGTTTACCTTGTCGCACAAGTTTGTCTACTGTGATATCACTGTTATTCTGTTTGCTTGTGCTTTATATACCGCCACTATGAAATGTGGCAATTTGCGGTGATACATTTGTGTGCAAGGCTCTACATTGATCGTGTCTATCTGATAGCCCTTCAAACATTTAATCCTACTTCAAAGATATGGTTCCGATAGGTGGCGTAAGTTGGCGAAAGCCAGTCGAGCGTTTTTTATTCGTGCAGAGATTTCATCGACCACTGACCAACATACCAGGGCTGATCCCACTTCAATTCCCAGGTAAGTGAAGTGGTCAACACACTCAACTACTACACACTCTGTTGTTTTCGGTGGCGCCGTTGAAGACGAATCGTGGAGTAACTAGTTTGCATTTAGGTGGTGAGAAATGCATCTGAAATATTTTCAAATTGCCACTCAAAGTGTTCAGAATACTCTGCATCTTTTTATTGTCTTCACCTAACAGGACTATGTCATCTGTGTATTCTAAGTCTTATGAAAATTCTCCTGCGATTAGGTCAACCTTCGGGTGGTGAGGTGATGAGAGGGAGACCTCCATGGGAATATGTATAATAATATGTAATAAAAATATGTATAATAAAATTGAGTAAGAATGGGGTCAGTGGGCACCTTTGACGGACATATTGTCTTTCACATGGGTCCTCATTAGTTACTCGTTCAAATCTTGAAAATTATATTATCATCTATTTTGCCTCCCTTTATCTTCTTGTCATAATTTCTTTTAGATGTTTAGGATTACCGACATTATTATTATTATTATTAACAATATTGATTATCAGTTCGACTACCTGAGTAAGATAATAATCGTTGTTGGATAGATTAGTATTGATACTATGTGATGATTGAAGGTGAGTTGAAAATTTGGGTCACAGCGAGGAGGGAATTTTTAAATCTCTCTAGTTATTAGTTAGTTAGTTGGATTTTTATAATGTTTTATTCAATGGAAGCATTTTTCTCTTTCATTTATTTATTAGTTGTCATCATCAAGTTCTCCAGATGATATCAATAATTCTACTAATAGTCATAGTAATGAAGATAATAGTAATGGATCAAATAGTTCAAATTACTTAACTGTCTCCTCAGAAAATAATCATAATTCATTGGGATTATCACCACAGAATACTTCTTATTCTACATCGCCTGCATCTTCTATCCCATTACAACAGCATGGAAATGGGAATAAACAGAAATCAAACATTTTGAACACATCGTCTTGTTATGTTTTATCTGGTGTCAGTATGACATCTACTGAACGTTATACTAGTTTTGTGCATTCAAAGTGAGTTTATTCTTCTGCCTTGTTTTGCTCGGTTTGTTTGTTTTCAACTATCTAGGATTGATTAGTGAATTCTTGCTAATTTTTGTATTCATTTAGAAACTGTTCGTTAGGGTTGTAATACTATTACAAGGTATCCAGAGTTCAAACCCATGGTGTGATAGGCTGTAGGCTCGAGTGGTCTGCAACTTCTCTCAGTTTAAGGCTAAGCAGTAAAGTGTGCGAATGTGGAGAGTTGCATCAGCCTGAACGGGCTGGTTGCTAACAAAATCTGAGCTTGGAAAATAAGGCCCGTTTGACAACTTACATCATCTGTGACACCGACTGCTGACATATCCAAGTATGCTGCGCCGCAGTCCGTTCTGTCTTCTTATATATGCGTGCAAGACATGGCCGTTGAAAGTAGAAGACATGAAGTGATCACATAGTCTTGATCGTGGATGTCTTCGTGATGTTGCTCGCGTTTAGTGGGATCATCATATGAGCAATGTCGAAGTTAGGTGAAGGGTACTAGTCGAGATACGCAAGTCGATTGATAAGGTTATGAACCTTAGTCAACTGAGATGAACATGTACTGCGAATGCCAAGCTACTGCCTGCCTCGATGTGTCATACTAGTGGAAAGCTGGATTAAGTTGAAAGAGGGAAAGAATCAGTGGTTGAGGACTATCATTGACGTGACTGAAAATCGGTGACAATGGTGCGGATGTATTTACGCCTTGATATCTTCTAAAGCTGCTAGAATATTCCCACTAACCTTTATTTTAAAATTGTTTCTTCTGTTGTACAACTTTTTCTACTTCGATACCACTCATTTTTCTATCCACCTATTATTTGTGTTATTATTATTATTATTACTTGTCCTTTGGGGTACTAGTAGAACATAGGCTTTCAGTAGTACTTCGCCATTCCACTGTTTTCTCTGCAGTCTTCTTAAACTGGCTCCACGACTGGTCATCAGCTTTCATTTCTTCTTCACACGATCTCCTCTCCAAACGGTCTTCTCAGTGTTTGTCCAATCCAATCCATCTCCACTTTCTTCTTCTGCATATTTGTTGGGCGATATGATAGGTTGCTGGTTGGTTGGTTCGTTGCCAGCCAGCCAGCCAGCCAGCCAACCAGCTAGCCAGAGTTCCTTGTTGCATATTCTTATTATTTTGGCAATCTGATCAATCTTCAGTGTCAGTATGGAGTGAGCGTAGGCGGCAAAAACTGTTGATGTGATGTATGTCTGCAGTTGTTTGTTGAAAATGCTTTCCGTAGCATGCCAAGTCTGTGAACTATCATATAGAAGCACTGACTGACTTGACTGACATTAGTGTTGAAAATGCGGATGTTGTTGACGCTTTATGCAGAGTGTAGTGTAGTGGAGTGTAGTGCAGTAGATCTGCACACTGATTATTTCAGATTAATGCAGGAAGGCCTGTATTTTGTTGTATTTCAACCAGTTGAAAAGAAATATTTCTTCACTGAAACATGCCTTGTTCTTGTTAATGAATAAATGGGTATATTTTGTCACTTTATTTTGTCTTAACTATATTCGCATCCAGTAATCAATAAGGTTGTCTTATTTTGTCTCATTTTCTGTTGTTTTCATCGTTTCTCCGATGTGTTCATCATGTACTTATGATAGATAAAAACAGATATTTGGTTGTTTTCAACAGTAAACTTAATTTAATGTTTGTTTGTCTTTTGCCTCCATATGTCAATGTTTTTATGTGTGTCTATGTGGCAGAATGGTGATAATCAGTAGAAATACATAACAATAGTATTTTCAGACAAGGGAAGAAAGCCTACTTGTAATAGTAATGGTTATAGTAAGTATATCACTTGTGGTTTATAGAGGTGGACTGCGAAAACTTCAATGTTGTTGCTATCTTGGCTCGTTGATCTCATGGATAATGTTGTAGCGTTTGTAGTAATCAATCCTAAGTTCGAGTCCCAGTGGGAACATTATCTTTCACTAGGAGAATAGCTGCATCCAGTTGATGAGTTAAATGGGTCGAAACGCGCGTCAGTTTGGATTTCACTACTAGCCACTATCCATCATTAATATTTAATGTTTCTGTTACTTTTCTACTTGTGTTAAAGATAAAAATAGGTGATTTTTTGTTGAAGTTCTTCACATGGCCTTGATTACCTAATAGCTATGTTAACTACTGTGTTTAAGTCTCTGACGTGTAAACACTTTTCACTGCTTAAACCACCCTACTGACCATTTATTTACTAATCTATCCGATTATCGTTCTTATTTATGAAGTTAATGTTTATGTCACCAAACGTGATGATGATGATGATGACGAGAAATGTCCCGGACAAAATATCATAGCTCATAGAACAGTAAACCATCAGCACTCCTCCACCTGAGCTTCAAATCCTTTTTATCATTTCAAAGTATCTGTTGTATACATGTATGCAGGAAATATATTTATGAAAGTCCGTAATTCATAGTTGATAACTTCCAGGTGGTATGCGGCATATAAATCTGTAATTGAACTATGACAGTTGGTTATATGTTCTCTCAATACACCATTAGTTAGGTTTTATACATAGATAGATAGATAAATGTAAAGATACCTTGTACGCCCGCCGCCTAACCTTCTAAGGTCAAATTTTCAACAAAACTATATTAATGTATACAGTTCAGCAACCAGGTCATGATTACCCACGTAAAAATTCAGATATAACTGGCTTTAGTGATTGAGGTGAAATAAAAATTTTGTCAGCAGTTGGACCTCATAGCTCTTAGTTGGCAGAGCATTGGGTTGGAATCTCGATGGTCGCTGGTTCGAATCCGTCCACAGTCGAAATTTTCATTTCACCTACAATCGTTACCTAGTATAAATAATATTAGTCCGCTAAAGTATAGCTATCTCATTCAGATAGTCAAAATGATAAAACAGCTGGCATTTTCATTGCTCTTAATGGAGTCTGCAAGCAAGATAAATGGGAATAAGGTACTTCTCTTTTGTCCTGACCATACATAGCATACATCAAACTCATGAAGATGATGAAAGTATCAGCATTTCGAAAAGTACAAGGAGAGTAATATAGTTTAATTTTCTCTATCAGATCATTTAACATCTTTAATCACTGTTTTCTATTATCATAGGAGGTCGAATTAAACAAAGCTAACAACGGTTCACACAACTGCAAACCTATTCATATTAGTCAGCGTTTTGTTCTGATATGAAACTGTCTTTTACTAACTGTGAAATGAGGTAGCACCAACTGCATTTGCATATGGAGCATACATCTCATAACTGATGTACCCTTGTATATGAAATCCTTGAGTACGTACGAGTTAGTGACTGCACTAGGTGTTGATAGTGCGTCAAAGTAAGTCGTAAGCACTGGACAGATGTTTCGTCCCTTTATGCAACTTCTCAGTAGTGCGTACCGACAGCTCCACTGGGGATCGAACCCCAGGACCTTCAGGTTCCGTGGCCAGTACGTTACTGATATCAATCGATAATGAATATTAACGTGTAATCAATAAATAAACCTCTAAATTAATTATTGAGGAAGGTTAAACAAATTGTAAGAGAGATCATAAGATTTATGAGTACAATTTAGATGACTAGGTCAATGGTATGAAATGCAAAACAATATGAGGATTTAAAACAATCAACAAGTGTGAAAAAGGCAGGATTTAATGAATTCATAAATTTCAGTAGTACTCGTCAGCTGGATGATACTTTACATACTTGATTATATATATACCGTTAAGCAATGGAAAAGAGCATACATACATACATATATAACGTAGACTGAGACAGATTTAGGTGTAACAACATAGAAGTGAATAGTTTTTACAGGTCAAATGGTAATCCAGAGGATAGAAGTGGATATTCAAGATTGTTGACATAGGGATGAGAACTGAATCGATTGAGCATCGATCACGTCATTGAAGACAAGATAGTTAGTAGTACTTATGCAGACAATATGAAAGCAAGGTGTATATTGAGATGAATAATAATGATAACATTGGCAATAGGAATGAGGTTAATTAGATGGAGTAAATCAGGGAAGGAAAACAAATATGAGATGAGTGATGAGTAATAGTGAAGAGGAGAATAACAAAGATTAAATATGATCAGACAGTGTTGTAATTATTACCATGGCAGATTCAGGCTGACTACCATTTCCTCCTGAATGCAAAGGTTTGGTTTGACAACTCGAATCGTGCAGGCTTCTACATATCCAAACAGCTTCTTATTTCGCTGTCTACTGATAACTTTAAAGGACTTATAGGTGCCAATATCATGTCCATAGTCCATTAGGTGCTTCGTTATCGAGCTCCTCGGGGTCTTCTTTTCAGCATGCTTCAACCATTTCGGTATATGCTATCATCTACCATTCATACGTTATCTGAAATTCCAAAAATATCTGCACATATCTTTGAAAAGGGTGAGAGAAACGGAAAACAGAACTTTTCAAAAATTGTTATTTCCTGATCCTCCAAATGATAAATTTCCATACACTCCGGAAGATTATTTTCACAATTTCTCTGATGTCTTTCTGACTAAAGCCCAATCTGAAATATTATCTATGGGGTTTAAATTCTGTGTGCCAGCAAAGAATATATGAGAAATCGAAGTTGAAGCCCAGTTTGAAAATTTATATGATCAACTCAGGAGTCTTCGTGCTGCATCGAAAGACAATGAGAGTTGGTTCAAATCCAAGATGGTAGATATTGCATACCAATTCCGAACAATGCCTTCTAGCCAAAAAAGGAATAATTTCTAAAGAACACTGGAGATCCCTACGCGAGCTTCGAGAAAACAAAGATCTCGTTATTCTCAGTTCTGATAAGGGAGAATGTGTAACTCTTATAAACAAAACAGACTATGTTACAAAGATGCACGAAATTCTCTCTGACAACTCGAAATTCATACTGGATAGTAACGCTAAAGACCAAACATCATGTATTGAAAAGCAGATGGTACAGCAGTTCCTCAAAGCTAAATACATAGACGAAACCACATTTAAAGGCATTAAACCAATTGGATCATAGATCCCAAAGTTGTATGGGCGAGCGAAAATACATAAGCCAGGTGTGCCTTTAAGGCCGATATTATCAATGATAAATTCACCATGTCACAAAGTAGCCCAGTGGTTATGCGGATTTCTCGAACCATTACGCAAACGTCTGGAAGGACACACTGTCTCTGATACCTTCCAATTTGTTCGAAACCTCACAGATCTCAATAGCACTGGTAAGCATCTTGTTTCATTTGATGTTGTATCTGTCTTCACAAATGTACCAGTTGATGAAACCATTGAGTTTATCTGTCGAGAAGCTGGTAATATCCCTATTCCAACAAGTGAGTTGAGAAAGCATCTAAATCTATGCATCAAGAACATCCAGTTCAACGGACAGTTATTCCGCCAAACCGATGGAGTCGCAATGGGAAGCCCTCTGGGTCCCCTTTTTGCTGATTTATTTCTATCCAGTCTGGAAAACAGTAGCTTGAAGCGCCTCATTAGTCAGACGGAACTGTACCAGCGCTCCATGGATGATATATTCATTGTATGCAATAGTAAAGCGGAGGCAGAAGCATTACTGAAGAGCTTCAATTCATGTCACCCAAACCTGACTTTTACGACTGAGCACGAGGAAAATATGATTAGTTTCTTAGTTGTCTCATTAGTGAAAAGAATCGATGGATCTATAGAAAGGTCCATCTATAGGAAACCTTCTTGAACAGGACAATACCTTCATTTTAGAAGCTTTGTTCCGATCCAATACAAAGTGAATGTAGTTAGAACGCTGTGTAACAGCCAGGAAAATTTGTTCCGACAGCACACTAGACTACGAAATAGGGACTTTGAAAAGCGTGCTAGTGAAGAATGGGTACCCAGAAAGCTTTGTCAACAAGCACGCAAAGTGGGTAGGGAGCAGAACAACGGCCCCAACAGCGCAGAAGAAACCAGCCTATGTCACCTTGCCATTCAAAGGTGATGACGTGCTAGAGGTAGTTAGACGAAGACTGGAGAAGTCTATCAGAAGGACTTAATACGCAGCTAAACTGGTCCTTCTTAGCACCACCAAAAGGGTATTGCAGCAATCAGGGAAGACATTACTCCGATCCTCGACACATCTAAATGCATATATCAATTCGAATGTACCTGCGGAAGCAAATACATTGGTCGTACGGTGAGGCGTCTGTCCACCCGAATGGCTGAGCACATACCGAAATGGTTGAAGCATGCCGAAAAGAAGACCCCGAGGAGCTCGATAACGAAGCACCTAATGGACTATGGACATGATATTGGCACCTATAAGTCCTTTAAAGTTATCAGTAGACAGCGAAATAAGAAGCTGTTTGGATATGTAGAAGCCTGCACGATTCGAGTTGTCAAACCAAACCTTTGCATTCAGAAGGAAATGGTAGTCAGCCTGAATTTGCCATGGTAATAATTACAACACTGTCTGATCATATTTAATCTTTCTTATTTTATTTCAAGTTGTTATTCATCGTAGACTGACATCAGTTGGAGTTCTTATTTTATTTTATTATATTTTTGTTTTCCTTCCCTGATTTGTTTCGTCTAATTAATCTTGTTCCTATTGCCAATGTTATCATTATTATTCATCTCAATATACACCTTGTTTTCATATTGTCTGCATAAGTACTATTAACTATCTTGTTTTCAATGATGTAATCGATGCTCAATCGATTTAGTTCTCATCTCTATGTCAACAATCTTGAATATCCATTTCTATCTTCTGGATTACCATTTGACCTGTAAAAACTATTCACTTCTATGTTGTTACACCTGAATCTGTCTCAGTCTACGTTATATATGTATGTATGTATGTATGCTCTTTTCCATTGCTTAACGGTATATATAATCAGGTATGTAGAGTATCATCCAGCTGATGAGTACTACTGAAATCTATGAATTCATTAAATCCTGCCTTTTTCACACTTGTTGGTTGTTTTAAATTTGTATTTGGGGAACAAATGTTTTCAATATGAGGATTTTCAACAAAACAAACTAATCACTGTTCCTTTTTGAACATATAAGTTCGGTTTCAATCATTTTATGTCTACCGGTAATTCACCAAAAAAAAACACAACTTCGAATTCATCTTTATTTTCAACGATTTCTAGTTATGAACTTCATATCTACGCTATTATCAATAAGGTGACGAACATTAGGGTGCAGCTGAAGACTTCTACATCTCTCGATCGTAAAAATTCCTTGGAGCATGTTCAGACATACGGTGAAAAACTCTTCTTTATGTACTGTGACACATAGTCTTGATTGTTGAATGAAATCTATGCATATTTCTAATTTTCACCTCTCTCTGTTTCCTTATTCTCTCCTTACTTACCATTGTGTAGTTTTGCTCCGAATGATATTGTGATATTTGTCCCAGTCCCTGGATCAAAAGCAAATACTTCTGCATCGAACACTTCTTCACTTCCATTTAGTACTGAGACTAGTCCAACAACAACAACAAGCACCGTTACTCCTACTACTAGTTGTGTTCTATCACAAGATAATTATACTGTTGTCAAATCAGACAGTAGTAAAAGTCAAGAATCATCAACAATCTTAACAAAATCTGATATTTGGTCTATGAGTAATAGGCTATCATCAAATCTATTGGATGCTGTTATCTCACCATCATCTAGCCTATTATCATCAATGATTGTTCAATCATCATTACCCCTTTGCTCATCGATTTTTATGAGTAGTGGTGGTGGTGGTGGTGACAGTGGTAGTGGTAGTAGTAACCAGTCTACAACACCAATGAATAATAATAATAACAATACCTTACCAGTAATGCATAAAAGCACTTATCCAAATAGTACTGTTTTAGCGAATGAATTGTATACAAGTACATTTAATGATACTGTTATGAATCAATCAAAAAATTTCTATAAAAATTTATCACAAATAACAAAGACGACAGCTAATGAAATATTATCACCGATATCAATTTCATCTCAAGTGCAATGGCGTATGCTTTCCTCTGATGGACATGTCTACTTTTTACATCAAGATGATTTTAAAGCATTGAATATTGATGATCATACAGATTATTGTAAACCATTGAATTCAAATTTACAAGAAACAAGTAAGTTTTTCTATTGTCTATATTATTTTTTTTATTAGTTATTTATACTTTGAATTCTTAGTGGAACATAGGACTTGAATAGCAGTCTTAATCTGGCTCAACTTTCATTTCTCCCTCACACGGTCTCTATGTCAACGTCGGACGCACAACTCATCGTTTCCCAATTGGCTTCCACTGGAGGACCTGGCATGGCCTGACGCGTGATTTCCCCAGACGGTTTTCTCAGTGTATATGTAGTCCAATCCATCTCCACTTTCTTCTTCTGCATATTTGTTGGGCGATAGGTTGTTGGTTGGTTGGTTGGTTCGTTGCCAGCCAGACAGACAGCCAGAGTTCCTTGTTGTTTACGGTGATGAACCACTAATCTACTTTATCTGAACTCTCTATGATAAGACGTTCAACATACAGCCGTCTTTATTTCAATGCTACCTGTACACATTTGTCAGCATAGTATATCTCCATTCCCCTAGGAAAACGCCATACCACAGTATAGATTCTCTGTAGACTTCAATTAGAAATGTAGCTCTAAAGAGAATTCTCACAACAATCAACGCAAATTTACTGAGAATGTTTAGCATTCATCATGGACTGACATCAGTTGGAGGAACATAAGAAACCTCGAAGCACTGGACAGCTATTTCGTCTGACTAGTATGGGATTCCTCAGCACGCCCACAACCCTGCCCCATCAGGGGTCGAACCGTGGACCTTCAGGTTCCGGGGCCAGCGCGTTATGACTGTGTCAGAATCCAATGGTCCATATTTCCTACTTCTCTCAGTTCACGAAATAGTGTGACCAACACCCGATGTCATCGTTGCCTCACTGGTAACGAATTCTCATTGGAAGTTGAGGAATCACTTCTTTCAGCTAGTCACCAATGAGCACTAGTTCAATTGAATTTGATGGTTTGTTGGGATTCAGAGATTTTTTCCAACTGACAGAAGTTGGAAATATGAACTATTGGATTCTGCCGAGCCAGTGGCTCAATGGTAATGTGTTGGTTACGGAACCTTAAGGTCGTGGGCTCGATCCCTGCCAGGGTCGTGGGTGTACACTGCTGAGGAGTACCATACTGGTCGGAGGAAACAGCTGTCCAGTGTTCTCAGGTTTCCAATGTTCCTCCAACTGATGTCAGTTCATGATGAATACCAACTTGAAAAATATCTCAAAATCCCCACAAACCCCCCAAATTCTTCATCAACTATGAAAAGTGTGAAGTTTTACCTTATTGGTTTTAAGTAATTTACTTCATTATGATTGATTCTTGTGTACTACTGGAAGTGTGAAGTTTTTTGACACTTTCTGACTGCATACATCGTGAAAGACCATTTCTTCTTAAAGTACCTGAAAGAGAAAATGATTTGTGTGACCACAGAGCTCATAGAACATCTGTTTGAGGTCTGTCACACACAGATTTTTGCCGATTATTGTTTTGAAGTTTAGTTGTTCTAACGCGAGGGATAGAAAACCTTCACCATCTTACTGTTGTCACAATCCCTTCTAGTCACCTGTATGACTTTGACCTCAGATCCCCTATCATAGTGTAGTAGTTAACACTATAGTTACACTATAACGGTAACTGCTTTTCATCCTATCCAACAGATCTTTGTGGTATGGTAGGATCTCGAGTGAACAAACGTTTCAACCAGTGTAGTTCGTTGGGTCAGTGTGATATGGCAGCAATAGGTTAATGGAGCAGCTATCACCTTGGAACTGAATTTTTACTCCTTTCTATCAAGTAGTATTATAAACCGTTACAAAATAATCGTGTCTCTTAACACGTCTAGCTGTTTTAAATTAACACCACCATCACCACCAGTTAAATAATTCTGCATTCACCACCTCTCAGTCAAAAATGAGTCTTCCTGATTGATGTGCTGCTAGGTTGGATTGTCAAGCTTTCGACATTTTAGTTACATTGATATTTGAAGGTTTCCTGACTAACAATGGACTAGATGGTTTGAAAAAACTTGGTCACCAAGTTAGTATGAGGTGTATTTTTAGTTGTGTAATCCTGGCGTAGTATATTAGAACAAATAACAAAATAAACAAATGTTTCGTATTATTCCTCATCAACGTTTCGATCTTGTTAGGAACATCCTTTTCTTTTCAAGAGTATGAATATGACATTAAGTTTTCAGGTTAATATTCAAGCTTTGGTACAGAAAAAGGTGGTGACCTTTACAATCACCCAATTACATCATGACCTGAAATAAAGATCAATGTAATACCGGTAAGTGAATAAGCAAATCGATCAGAGAGGTTTTTCTCAGTTGTACAGGTAAGACGGAACAAAAATCTGGTGCGAAAAATTTTTTAGTTCATCTACGAAAAGTACAATAAGGTTGTGAGTTGTTAGCGGTGATAAATAATAGATTTGTAGTTGAGAAATATGAATATTTCGACATGAGATAATATATAATAAACAAATAATAATAATAATAATAATAATAGCGATAAAGGTACTTTTGATAACACTTGAAGAAGCATGAGTGATGATAAAATGGATTATGTTATCTATAGAAAGGTTCATAGAATGTATATAACTTAGAAAGGAGCGTAAAATTAATGAAAATAGTAGATCAATAGGGTGTTTATGTAGTAGGAATAGACAAGTTGTTAAAATACAATCAATATTTTTGATCTGATTAAGACGATTGAGAGAAATAACACCGGAAACTATTCAAACAAGAGCGAATTCGGAATAAATCATTTGGAATGAAATTGTGTTCTACCTTCTCTTCAAATATGATATTTACAACTGCCTAGTTGAGTCATTAATGTTTGCCATATTAGTAGGATGTCTAACCCATCTTTTCTGTTAACCGAAGAAAGATATGAACAGATATGCAAAGCTTCTGCAATGGCCTACTCTTCGTGAGAAAGAAAACTCTTTTGCAGGACTTTCGTCTATTCGAATGATATTTTATGACCTGAATATAGGGCATAAGCTGGGATGACAAAGCTTTTTTCAAGTTTTTCTAGATCATAAGAATTTTTTGGTGGTTTCTTGGAACTTTGACCGTGTTCGGCTAGAAGTGTTAGTACTTGATATGATGTCTCTCCAATGTATGTGGCATCACATTCACTACAGTCTACCTTATATACACACTTTTGTTGTTCCAAATGAGGAATCGGATCTTTTAATTTACACAGGTGTGAATGTAATGTATTTGTTACCTTAAAGAATACTCTGATGTTGTAACTATTTAGGATACATCTTATTTCCTCTGAAGTGGATGTTCGATAATGAATTACTGTGGTACTTATCCAATCTTTATAGCTTGGCTTTTTAGTATTTTTATTCGATAAACGTTTTTCGATCCTGGATAGTTATTTTATTATAAGACTTTTTGAACAAGTTACCTATATGCTTGATGAAATTCCACTTTATTTGGTTCCTTTGTGATCTTAGTCAACTAATTTTTGGAAACGTTTAACTTAGTTTTCAATGGATTAGCCGAATCGATATCAAGATATTTGTTAGAATGTGTATCTTTTCGATAGACATCAATATTAAGTGTCCCATCATTGTTTCATATTGCCTTACAGTCTAGGAAAGCTAACATTCTGAATTCTGTTTTTAGTTCATATGTGAATTTTATAGAATTGAAACAGCTGTTAAGGTATTGAAAAAGATTTTCTAGTCTTTGCTTTTTGGCTGTAACGAAGGTGTCATCAACATACCTCCACAATATGATATTCTAGCGAGTTTACTTACTGTTGATTACTTCCATTTGTGTTTCTTAATATCTAGTGTTTATTGTTTTTGTCTTTTTTTGTTGTTGCTAACAGCCACTGTCTTTCACAATCGAACAAGTTAACACTAATCCCCCCTATTTTATGTGTTTTCACTTTGTTTACACAATACTAGATTCAATTCATCCAAGGAGTTCATCTTTTAAAGAAGCCTTTCCAACTCATAATTACTTTATTGTTGCAAGATATCAGAGCAAAGAACGATGTTTATCGAAGAAGGTATACATTTGTGTGAATAATTTTCTTCTAATGTCTTATTTTTCGATTATCATTTTGCTAGAAATGTTTATCAAAGAGGATTGTAGGTTTCTGATGAAAGTTGATTTAATTCTGACCATTACAGCAACATGGATTGTATATATATCTGGCATATAAACATTGACTGATAGATAATATTGGATCTTCAAATGTTGTATGTTCAGATCCATATCGTATAGGTTACTTTCTTCCCATCATACTACTCTTCAGCCCTTCTCATTCAATTTGCTTTGAATAGTACAGTCGAATGCGTATATCCATCCAATTCAATATAGGATCAGGGACTACTGCGTAACGATCCGAGTTGCCACACCTCATATCACCACATCAAGTAAACAAGGCAGTCAAGTGGAAGATGAAGAAAAGAAAATCCAGTCAAAAGAAACATAAAGTACGAAAAGAGAGAGAGAGAGAAAGGAAAAATGAGAAAATGGTGAGATTCGGTATAGGGTTGTTAAGATGAGGATAATATGTGCATAAATCTGCGTCACTGACCTGTTCTCCATGGTTTCTCCTGTCCCACAGACCCCAACCGGTTAGTCTGCATCACCCCACATGGCTCAAACCAGCAGTCAAAGACTTCATACATAGTGCGGCCACCTCGGACTTTTTTCCAGCCTGAACCTACTTCGGTCAACATTGTGTGACGAGGCAGACGGTGACTAGACATACGTAACACATGTCGGACCCAGCCATCTCAGTCTCTGAAGGTTCACAACAACCGCGTCAACTGATTTACCTCTTCTCCATAAAACTCTTCGCCTTAGCCTGTCTTGTGCTTTACTCAGGTGGTGACACGACGGAATACGGCTATACTACGAGGGTAGAGGTGGTCAAACACCTGGATCATTCTCATGTCTTCCACCGTCAATGACCATGTTTCACAGCCGTAGAATAGAACAAAGCAGACTTCAGCACAGTACACTCGGCCCTAATAGACAATCAGATATCTTGGCGGAGCCACAGATGGCGTAAGCCATCTGACCCTTTTGTATTCATGCACAAATTTCATCGACCACGGAGCTAGCCATCAGAGCTGATCCCACTTGCCAGGTAAGTGAAGCGGTCAACACACTCTATTGTTAGCTATGGTATCGTTCAAGATGAATCGTAGGGTAACAATTTGCATTTGGGTAGTGAGAAACTCATCCCCAACGTTCTGAGATTGCCACTCAGTGTTCAGAATACTCTGCATCTTTTCATTGTCTTCACCTAACAGTACTATGTCATCTGTGTGTTCTAGGTCTAATAAAAATTCTCCTGCGATTAAGTCAACCTCTGAGTAGTCACGTGACGAGAGGGAGACTTCCATAAGAATATCTATGATAAAATTGAATAAGAATGGGGACAGTGGGCACCCTTGACGGAAACCACTCGATGAGCATAGCTCCCTGGACATCTCACCATAGGTTTTAATATGCCCACAAGTGTTCGAGTAGAGAGCCTTAAATAAGGTGATGTACTTACTAGGCACGGCTTTCAGTGAGATACGTTGCTATGCGACTTCTCGGTCAGTGGAATCGAATGCCACCTTCAGATCGAGAAATACAGCTATTATCGGGCACTGGTAAGCGTGTATGTGTTCTAGAAGGTGGCGTAGTGTGAATATTTGGTTGAAACACCCGCGGCCGAGTCTAAAGCCTGCCTGGTTTTCTCGGGCTTGCTGTTCCCAAGCTTCACTCAGGCATTGAAGAATTATAGAACCTAGAATTTTGAATATGTATATGTATTTGTCGTCAAATATTCATCCATAGTTGACACATACACTAGAGTTGAGGGAATCATAAATATCTCACTGTTGAAAACAATTCCAGTTATTCTTAGTTGATTATACTAAGGTGAGTTTTTCACTGACAATTTCTAAACAATTTTGTTCACACTGATTATGATATCCGGATACTGATCAACTTTTGAACTGTACTGTTACGTGGAATTGAATTAGTTTGAGAAAATATTACAGGTAATTAAACTAAGAGGTGTGTTTGTATGTGTTAGAACTGGAAAAGAAAATATTGACTTCCAAGTTGAAAGTTGTAAGATAACGGTAAGCTTTGGTACATAACTTTACGTGATAGAGTTAGAAAGCGATCTTAGTAGTTACTAGGAATATATCTGTTCTTCACTTGTCGATAATTTCTAACAATATTACTATATCCTTTCTTCTTCATCTTGTTTCTCTTTACGATCATTTACATCTCATCATGCCTAGTAGAGGAATCCAGTAGGTGTGTTTCACCTTATTTGAGACTCGTCAGGTGTGTGTATCTACATCTCAGTGAGTGATGTTGTTCCCACTGCGATTTGATCCCAGTACTCATCCCTTCAAATACCAAAGCGTTATCATTTAAGCCATTGAGGTGCGATAGCCACCTCTTACGCAGTAGGCATCAGCTGTTGTTTCAACGGTACTTCTTATACAGGGCCGAATCGATCGACCTCTACTGTTGATAGATGAGTTTCCGTGCGGATACCTCAGTGCTGTCGGCTATTCGTGATGAGTAGCACGTTTTTTCCCATTTGGAACGAACCATTGAAAACCTGGGATCATTTAGCGGCTATTTCGTTCTGGTTTAAGACCCTTCGGTAATAATCATCCATGACCGTGTTGAGAATGGAATGCTCGGAATAGTCAAGTTTTTTGACAGTGAGCTCATTACCATCCCGTTTTTCTGATGAGTACCAAACTGCCATGAAACAGCTTACATCCAGTGGATCCAGGTTTTCAGTGACCTTCCACAAACCACTAATTAATATACTTTTGTGTCACTGCCTTCTGTGTTTCTTTTAGTACTTGGTTCAATGAACACCACTGTAATTGTATCTGATAAATAAAACCGTCGTCAACTGAAATCATAGTAGACGAAGTTGGCTTTCAATTCAGGGATTAAGTTAATCTACTGCCGTGACATCACTTTCAAGGAGTTTTACTCATTAAGATTATAAGCATTCAAACCATAGTTTTTACGGCTGTCCTGGAAAAGTTGAGCGCTGAGTTTGGTATAATCATCTACGTGAAGGTAATTTTATGTGGAAGAAAGTTGTAGACCCTTAAAAATTACGAGGAATGAATGCAAGTTATATACGAAATATCCACCGAAGAAGAATCAAGATGAATTTTAAAAAATTTCGAGGAACGATCAACAATGTAGTTATGCATCCAGTTGAAAAGCGGACACCTGATTAGCTTTGAGAATGTAGATATGTTAGAAAAAGGCTTCCATTCTCCTGCACGCCACATACAGATCACAACTCCTCACATACTTCACTCACTCTCCTACAACTTAACCACTGAAACTGTATAATGTACGACCTTGGCGTTTCAAAGCGTACACAACATCTGTGACTGTAACTGTCTTTCTCTTCGCATGCTCCGTGTAGGTGACCGCATCATCAACCACTTTCTCCAAGAACACCTTCAGGACACCACGAGTCTCCTTTTAGATCAAGCCAGAGATAAGTTTGATACCACCACAACGAGTGAGACGACGGATAACAGGCTTCGTGATACCTTAGATGTTGTCGCGAAGCACCTTGCTATATCTTTTAGCTCCTCCTTTACCCAAACCCTTTCCACTTTTACCACGATCAGACATCTCTCAGTATAAAAGTTGGCAAAACTTGTCGTGAACCAACACATAAAGAAAGACTAACTTGTGATGCCCTGCACATATTTTAACGACATAAGTCTGACAAAACTATTAATTACTGGGTGATAATTGAAGGTGAAAGGAAAATCTAGACCGGGTTTGGGTTTGAACCAGCGATCACTGAGTTTTTGGGCCCGACGCTCTACCAACTGGACTACGAAGTCCGACTACTGACCAGAATTTTATTTCACTTCATCAATCGTCAGAGGTTCTGCCCAACTACTATATGAATTCATGATGCGTTACTATCGCTCGATCATATTCACACTACCTGCTTACAGTCATCTCAATCGAAATCTAAGTGAATTATAGAGTGGGAGCATCCTATTGATGATCATAATCCAAACGAAGCTTGACAATTACTGATGATTCATGAGTAAAAAGTACTAGAAAAAACAGCATATATAAACAAACACACACACACACACACTTACCCTTTCGTTGACAAATGACACTAGCACAGGCAGATAGACAAAATCAACGTAGAACTTCAAACACAATTGCATCACTTCACGGTAGTACACAAAGCACAGGGAGGTAGAAGAAGACTGATATCGAAGCGAACAAAATTGTGTGAGATGATAAACAATTTGAAGATAACAGTTAGTATGAATATTTAGGCTTTAGAAGACATGAAGAAAGGAACACATCTAAACCCCATTGTCATCTATTTTCGACCATATCACAAAGAGTCGTCAACTACTGATTCCTATCATGTAAGGGATCCCAAACTGATAGTCTACATCCCTCTACACAACTGAAACTAACAGTCAGAGACTTGATCAACTGGTACCAGATGTTGGTTTGGCCAACCTAATTCAACTTCATCTAGTATGGGTATGTCGAGGTAACTGGTGAGGTAATCGGCATACGTAGTACACATCCAAGGCATTTTAATCGACTAAAGTTCACAATAACAAGTATCAACTTGTGATGATCAATCTTAATTACTTACATTGGACAGAAAATTCACGTTAACCAATGACTTAAATATATTTGAGATACAGTTTACGCAGCGAAATGTTCAGAAATAGTGGAGAATATTTTTTTAGCTCAGGTGGATGGTCTTGGTTGTATTGTGTTCTCTGAGCTGGGTTGTTTAATCGTGGAGAAGCTTTCATCGTCTTGCTAGACAGTGACACCATCAGCACTAACTTCAGTATGAAGTCTATGCAATCAATGACACAACAATTAAAGGAAACAACCAATCACAGACCACATCGTCAGAGCAAGCCACTAAATTACTCATGGAGAGATATTGACAACTTACTTCATACTGAAGTTAGTGGTGATGATGTCGCTGTCTAAAAAGACGATAAAAGCTTCTCCACGATTAAACAACCCAGCTCAGAGAACACAATACAACCAAGAACGTTCAGAAATATTTTGATCTAGGATTATATTAAAAATATTTTCTTATAATGTGTGTTTTTTCTCTTCGGTATTTTCTTTAGGCTAATAATCGATTTAATCTGCCCAAGAATTTTATTTTCTATCGTGTAAGAGCATGTCCATTGAATAGTTCATCGGAATCATCTCCGCTGCCGGTTGTAACAGAATCATCTTCACTATCATCAGTTAACAATGATAATTAACATTATTGGCAGCAATATTAATTCTGTGATTCTGTAACAATTTTCTTCTTATCTCTTGTAATTAGATATAGTTCTATGAGGATGTGTATTGGACCATAGCTGTGAAGGTTCATTATCATCATCATCATCAAGTTATTACTTCCCTCCACACTGTAACCTACCTACCTACCTACCTACCTACCATATATGCCTTTCACATCATATGTACATTGGTGTTATTTTACAGGATGATAAGGAAGTCAGAAATGATCATTTAATAAGGAATACGTGTCTTCAATTATCTATGATACCATAGTTAATCAGTCGGTATTTAGAAAAAAACAAACACACTTACATCGCGTCTATTTTAAAACATTTTTTTCTATTTGCAATTGTTGTTTGCGCCAATCTTTTATTAACCACTCACTTATTCCTAAAATATACAAAATGATGGAGAAATATATTTACATTTTGATGTCTATTCATGTATCATTTATCTGCAGTTCTGCGCCCGAGTCTTTCTATGCGTATGTGTGTGAGTGTCTTCATATTGTTCTTACTTCTTCGTCATCGCACAACACAAACACATACACATTCTCTGTCGTCATCCCTTAATTTCTTTTGAGTTAGTTTCATCTGTATCTGTCTGTTTTCTACTATACTGTTATGTTTGTGCGTGTGTGTGTGTGCGTGTGTGTGTGCGTGTGTGTGTGTGCGTGTGTGTGTGTGTGAATGTATACGATATACCACTACGGATGCACAGACACAGATGAATCGTAGTGTATGCAGTACATTCTGTCATATAGTCTGTTGTTAGTGTGTTCGTTCCCTCTTTCCCTTCTAAATTTCTGTATTACTGGACATACTTAATCGTTACTGTCAAAAATGATGCTACTCGTGATATTCTGTGTTTGTGTGTGTGTGTGTGTGTGTTTTTATGATCCCATCATCTATATATGACCACCCGACCAAGAAACCTGTCCTGGCATAGATACCATGTTATGCCTTATTTTAACTCTTATCATTATTAATTACTGTACTTTTGGTCTGACTTTCAGCTTATCATTATAGTTTTCATCTTTTGAGAAGGTATATTTTTCGTTCCTTGTCGCTACTCTATATATTATACCTCTGCCCCCCTCCTCCTCCTTGAGAAGATTTATACTTCACATATGCACATAGAGTGATATACACACTGTTCTTTTACGCAACTTTTAATCAGTATTTCTGTTTCTCTAGGGTTGTCTATTCTCACAGACAACGGTATGCTTTAAAGCCCGTAATTATTATCATTATTGGAAAGAGATTTCTTAATTATCTGTATTCAGTCCCCTCTGGTGTATAAACTATTATTATTGTTATTATCATTGAAACTATTGAATATTTTCAGGATTGCTTAAGTGTGCTTATATATATACTGAGTTGTTAAGATTTTTTGCCTACCTACCTGCCTGCCTATCTTGTCACCGACATCATCCCCCTTCAACACACACACACATTACACATAAATCAATCACTGTTTCATCCTCTTTTCTTTATGAAATTTCACTTTTACACCATCAGTATTCATTGTTGGCCATAAGTTAGTAAATGAGTTACAGAGAGAGAGAGAGGTTTGTTGCACTGTAGAACTGCTTCTTCCATTCATAAATTTCAACCGGTTTACATTTTCTGTAAGTTTGTATATGTTTATCTATGTTGGTTATTTGCTTGATTGTACCTTCCTCTTTTAATTTGTCTCTGTTGTATACAGTGAATAAACGAACGCACACACACACACACACACACAAATAATCATTTTCACCTTCGTGTATCTGATCTGCATAAACTCAGAATATAATTACAAAAAATTATATTGATAATATGCTGCGTTCCCTTATATTTTGTACGTCTGGTTCTCTGTCAACACATACACTTTCTACGTTTTCACTCTTATAACACATTTCTCATCCATAAAGATTAAGAAAACTCGATTGTTAATAATATAATAATAATGGTAATAGACTATTATTATTGTTAATATTGTTATTCATGAAATATGGTCTCTGTTGTTTATTTTTAACCACCAAAAATTATACAGTTATTTAAAATTTAATTGTTTTTTTGATTTTCAAGAGGAAAGGAACTTTTCAAGTTGATACTCATCATGAAATGACATCAGTCGAATAAACATTAGAAGCCTGGATGTACTGGATAGCTATTTCGTACTAATATGTGACTTTTCAGGAGTACGCGCCCAGGAATTTCAGTTTCCGTGGTCACCATGTTACTATTGAGCTAGTCATTGAGTCGGAATCCAGTCGTCTTTATTTCCAACTTATGTTAGTTCACAACATAACGTGACCATCACCTAATGTCATTGTTGAGTATTTGTCTTCACGATCACCAGGTTTGCACCACCGGTGACGACTTCTCATTGGAACTTCAGGAATCACTTTTCGAAGCTAATCACTAGTGAGCACTAGATCAATTGAATTTGGAGGTTAGGAATCGAAATATGAACCATTGAACTCCGATCCAGTAGCTGAATGGCGACGCTCTTATCACGGAACCTGAAGGTCCGGGATTCCATCTCTGGAGTCCGGGGTCATGGATGCACACTGCCGACGAGTCCAATACTAGAATGAGACAGTTGTTCAGTGTTCCCAGGTTCCCAATGTTCCTCCAAGTTATGTCAGTCCATGGTGAGAACCGACTTGGACAATCACTAAATTCCTAAATTGAAAAAGATCTTTTTTAAAAACATCTTCACCGAAGCCATAGTGCTCTTCTTTTTCTTGTTATGGTGGACTGTTGTTACTGGCAGACGTTCCACTGATGTACCAGTCAACAAAAAGTGGATATTGCGAATTACTCGCCGGTGTCTATTGTGTGTTATTCTACTTGACTTGAGTGTGATTGGTGGTCGACTGAGTATATGTATGTCTTTCTCTCTTGATTCATTGGTTTCTATTGTGTGAATGTGTATTGTAGTTAGCTGATATGATTTATCCGAGTCCTGTGAGACTGTTATGTTTATTGTCCAAATTTCATTTTTTGATAACGATGTGTACTTATTGAAACTGACCACGAGACAACATACATAGTAGCCTTGAGCCAGCAGTTTTAGAAGTGTGAGTCTTATGCTTAACTGATACAACCATAAAAATCATCTCTTAACCACATTTCAGTAGCAATTTGAGTAGTAGAGAGCAGAGCTAGCAATATGTAGCTCAAGTCGTGCTATAATCTAGATCTTACTTTCAGGTTCATTTTCACCGAAATCGTTGGGAACAGAAATTTATTCACTGAAGTTATCACTTTTTCAATGTCGATTGAATCATACTTCATTTGAAGACCGTTTGTCTTGACGGATAGTGATTTTATTTTCTTCCCTGCAATTTATATTCTCAATTATGATTGGTTCTTTTTGACAATCAAGTGTATGATATCATTTAAACAAAGTGGGTAATGATGAACCGTACATACTCATTCAAATAAACAAAAAGGCGACTCTAGCAACTGCTGGGATAACCAATCACGTAGCGATATTTCAGCTGGGAAGGGAGTATTTCATAGGATGGAGACATATGATTGGTTACTTCGTTAATTATAATGTCGACCTTTAAAGTCGCCCATTTAATGCTAATATTTAGACATTTCAATCTATATTACCTTAAAATCCCATTCTGACAGAAACGCTCTTCGAAAACCCATCATCTAAGCAGGATTGTTTATGATCCTCAGAAATCATCAACAAGTCATTGGTTGTGAATTGATGACAGTTTCTGCTTATCTAAATGCGATAAACTTCCTGACCAAATTATATTCATGAGGTCAACATTATTATTATTATTTGTCCCAGTGAAACATAGGGCTTCAGTAGAATGTCGCCATTCCACTCTCTTCTCTGCAGTCTTCTCAACCTGGCTCCACGATTGACCAGAAGCTGTCATTTCTTCTCCACACAATCTCCTCCATATCACCCTTGGACACCCAACTCGTCGTTTCCCATTTAGATTCCGCTCGAGGACCTGGTGCGTGATGTCCCCGAACCGTCTTCTCAGTTTATATCCAATCCATCTCCACTTTCTTCTACTTCATATTTATTGGGCGATATGATAGGTTGCTGGTTGGTTGGTTCGTTGCCAGCCAGGCAGACATAGTTCCTCATTGCTTATCCTTATTATTCTGACCATCTGATCGATCTTCAGTGTCAGTATGGAGTGAGCGTAGGCGGTGGCAGATGTTGATATGATATATGATGTATGTCCGAAGCTGTTTGCTGGAAATGCTTTTCGTAACGCCCCAAGTCTCTGAAGCATCACATAGATTCACTGACTGACTCGATTGAGATTAGTGTTGAAAATCCGGATGTTGTTGTTGACGCTTTATGCTGAGTGTAGTGTGGTGTGGTGCATTAGATCTGCACACTGATGATTTCAGATTAATGCAGAAAGGCCTGTGTTGTTGTGTTTCCGATCGTGTGTTTGGCATCCTGATGTGTATTGTCGCTTGTCGTTGAGACGATGGTGCCTAGGTAGGTAGGTAGGTAGGTGGGTATATGTGGAAGAGACAACTTGCTTTAGATTTCTTTCGTTGATGGTGATTGGTGCTTGTTGTTGTTGTTGGTGGTGGTGGTGGTTGGATGTCTTCATCACCGGTGTCTTCTTTCTCTACGTTCACCAGAAGGAAGTCCCGTCTTCCTTCGCTGCCTTACCTCGCCCCGCCTCTTCTGCCAACTTATTAGTTTTCGCCTGTAGACCCTCGAGTTTGTGCGACATAAGACATTAGACATAAATGGTCATCGGCGGCGAAATCCAAATCTTCTTCTGTGGTGTTCCGATCGGTGCAGCCAGCGTATGTTGATCTTCTCACTCCTCACAGTTTGCTGCATGATCTAGTCTAGTCGAGTCGAGTCGAGTCGACCACACTCAGGAATGTCGTCGGTGATGTATAGTAGGCAGCCTTGTCTTACTCCTTTCCCCTGTCTTCACTTTAAAGGACTCACTGAGCTTTTGATTGTGAATCACTTGGCATGTAGCATCATATAGCATATATTTGCTGTTGAATGAGATTGATGGAGGTTTGTGGTAGTGAGACCGTAGTTTTGAAGCAGCTGCCAACTTACTTTTCGGTCAGCGGTGTGGAAGGCCATTTCAAAATCGATGAAGTTGATATTGAGTTGACTGTCATTCTATACTGTGTTTTATGATGATGCGTAGCGTTGCAATTTGAAGTCAACAAGCCGTATCGAATTCTTTATTGCTATTGAACTGGTATAGTTTACCTGGCTAAGCGCTTATGTTAGTTATTTTCTGTTTGGCGTTTTTTCAATACCCTTAAGCACTGGAAGGAATTATTCGACAAGACAGCCTTGACCTAAGTTTAAGTCTTGTTGGCTGTCATCAGCAGGATATATCTGCAAGCATGAAGGAACTGGTGTTCTGTTGATGATTAGAGCCTACAGTATTCAATGTTTGATACCAGAGACAACCACTAAGGTATTCAGACCACGATTGACCCTTAATAGGACCGAATTTCGCACTCCATTGCTGTTGAAAAAATGTGTTTTAATCCATGTTCTAGTCAGACTTCATTCTAACTTGTCGGGATCGAATCCAGACCTTCGTGTTTTACTGCCAGGTAGTCATTATTATCGCGCTGGGTCAGCCTCCGTGGTCCATATTTCTTCTGTTAGTTTACGATATAGTGTGACCTTTATCCAATGCCGTCGCTGAGTATCTTTCGTTACATCCTACTTGGTCGACCCCACAGGTCATTACTTCTCATTAGGACTTCAGAAATCACCTCTTGTAGTGAATCATTAAAGAGCATTAAAATTTTAATGCTGTTGTGTTCTCCAACAGCTAGATGGTTTAATCAATTAAATCATGTAGAATTTAGGAGTTGAAAATATTGAGGAAGCCAAGAGTCCATAAATAGTACATCAAAATTGTTGATAATTAATTCGATATGAAGTTGCAGATCCAAGAATTGTACAAACATGATGTTGAGCGTATTCGGGTGTACAATTCTCTTGAATTCACTTTTGTACACCTGAAGTATTTGTTCAGGAAAGATGTTAGACTGAATGTGCAGCTGATTGATCGAGTGTGATTTATACATATATAATGACTTACGTACTTTTCAAGATCATGAGCAATGTGAGTACTAGTTTTTAAACGTTTTTCTCCACCTTCATGTTTCAGTGGTGGAGCACTTTCAAAGTAAATGTTAGGTAATAAGTAATGTTTCAAGTTGTTATTCATCGTAGACTGACATCAGTTGGAGGAACAAAGGAAACCTGGGAGCACTGGATAGCCGTTTCGTCCTAGTTTGGCACTCCTCAGCAGTGCTCGCCCACGACCGCGCACTCCAGGGATTAAACCCTCAACCTTCAGGTTCCTTGGCCAGCACATTACCATTGAGCCACTGGGTCAGAATCCAATGGTCTGTATTTCCGACTTCTGTTAGCTCACGGGGTCGTGTTTGCTCACTGCTGAGGAGTCCCATACTAGGACGAAACAGCTGTCCAGTACTCCTAGGTTTTCTTTGCTCCCCCAGTTGATGTCAGTCTACAATGAATGACAACTTGAAATATTTCCAAATCCCTACAACTCCCTCAAAATTCAATAAGTATTGTTGTCTAGTTTATTTCGTGTTTAACAGTGCCGTTCAAGACATGCATATTGTCTTGTTTGGGACTCACTAGTGAGTTGGATGTACCTACACCCCAGTAAATGATACTATTCCCAATGATACTCGACTTCAGCATTCATCGCTCCAAACACCAAAACGTTATCCTCTGGATCATGATGTCTACCACTCTTTCAACATGTATTAATTATTATCTCATTGATACTCATAACTTCCCGTTGCTATCCTGGGGTCGAATTGCTCGATTACAACTACAATATAATGAATATCCGGGTAATATCGAATCATCCGTGTAGGAGTTCATATCAATAGATAAACTTCTGTTATCAACTTTTGTGGTTACTTCTTTTTTGGTGCAAAATTTCCAATGCCATCGTCAGTGCTATTCTTGAACATCTACAAGGCGGGTTGTAAATGTCTACCATTTTTACTTCTTGCAACATTTTCACATTTA